GGTGGGGCCCCCCCCCCCCCCCCACCTTTAGAAAAAAAAACCATAAAATTAGGAAATACACATTTTCAAATAAAAGGAATCTTTGATGGAATAAGAGTATTGGACTGAAGGAACTTGCCGAAGCATCCAAATTTGTAATTTGTCCATTTCGATCCTATATCACACGGTAAGCCTCAAAACGACTATCTTTACAAAACTGCACTTAGTCGTAGACTTCTGCGTTTTTACCACCCAGGTGATGTAGTATATGCACAAACAATGGAGACTTTTTTTTATCGAGGTTCTTAAATGTCCACGGAGCTACGATTTCTTAAAACAAATTGAACTCTATGACATTGTAGACAACATAAAGAAGTGTCAGGAATTCCTGAGAGGAGCATGATAAATGAAATTGTCGTGATCTGCAAGCTTCTGCGCGTAAACCCTGCAACCCCCATAGCAGTAGTAAAAGGTCCTTTTCGGCAGCTCGAAGGTTATAAACATGGCTCCCTTCAACAATGACTAAAGAAACGTTCTAAACAGCCGCAAGGAGAGAACGGACAAACTTTTGAAGTAAATGAAACACGCGAAAATTATGATGCTGCTGTGCAAGGTTACACTTTTTTCGTTACGAACTTCTTTCTCGTTTGTAAAACTATTTAAAAAGTGATTGATGAGTTGTAACTGTATTAAAAAATTATGAGTTGGCACCAGGTAGACCAATTTTTAACCCTTTTGAAAACTGCTCCGCGGGCCCTGAAAGTACTCTGGATAGCCCAAAGGGTGTTTTCAATGCATTTAGGAGGAAACCGCCGTTGGGTGCCCCTGTATAATGGTGTACTGGCTTTTTCTCTTGATTACTTGTGGTCTTAGGAGTGAGAGGTACATAACAATAATGAACATTTGTTTTCTCGTGCAAAATATGACCAGATATGACTTTTAAAGTGTGTTTCACGGCAAAAAGGTGACGCAGATATAAAGGAGATACTCGATACTCACCCAATTTTTTTCTCGTTTTTCAAAATGAAACTTGATCTCATTTGAGCAAACGAGATGTGGTATATTTAACAATTATTCCACCAGTGCGCGTTGGATATGATTTGGCTATAATCATCTCATATCCAACAAGCGCGAGTAGAATAATTGTTTTATTAAAAACGCCCACAAAATATCGAGAATTCTTCCCGACTTTTTTTGTAAAAGCAACCGATTTTCAGCTTGTTTTCAATTTTGAGCAGACGCTTACAGTTACCATATTTGGAGTGCATGGTATAGTGCCTCATATATGCCATGATGGCTAAGCCAATCGGAGCTCTAGAAGTGCACAATCCAATGATTTAGTTTTTAATAAAGTATTATAGCTCATAACTTGCTTTGTGTGCGCAAGGGAAGCGAGTGTGGGGGGTGGGGGGGAGGGTACTCTAAATTTCAGGTGACATGGATATTCGAAGGATTTTTTGGGGTTTGAAATTTTCGATTGCAGGAATTTTGGGGGTAGGAAAATTTAGCAAGTATTTTTTGGGGCGGCTTGATTTACGTAGGAATTTTTTGCGTACTCAAAACAATCTGAAGTTGTCATTCTGCATGATGTTATTGATGAAACAGAAGATGTTCTTGGGTAGGCTTAGCCCCAATTTGCCCCTAAAAGTGTATAAAAGTTGCTAAAAAGTTGCTATTTTATTTTTAAAGTTGACGAAAAGTTGATTTTTTTTTTTCACTTGATTCCACTTGAAGTTGGTTTTATTGCGGTTTTCACGTCCGGATTCGTCTGTATTTTTCTTTCTCTAGTTTTTCTAGCTTTTTCGGCGGTAGCGAGATTTGCCCCCAGCCTTTTAGCTTCCTCAGTAGGATTAATCGGGCCTTCATCTGTACGTTCTTCTCAGCTGGAATCTGAATCACCGACATTGTTGTCCGCTATCATGAAAAACTTGTAACGTGATACCGCTGACCTCATGGACAGGCGTGCAACACCAAGCCGGCATTGGTAATTGGGCCAATCCTGGAGTCCATGCACACACTCACACAGTAGCACTAACCAGTTGAATTTAGCTGACGTTTCCTTCGAAAGCTAATAAATGTCACGAAAAAGTAAAAAATAATTTAAAAAATGTTAAAAAAATCAAAAGTGGTCGAAAATCACAAAAGGTGCCGAAAAGTTGCCGTTACTTGTGGCTAAGCCTATTCTTGGGTGTCTCGAGTGTTGTTAGAATCCAATGCAAAAGGCTCAGAAATTCGGCATGGGATTTTTTGGGGGGTTATTTTTAGTCCAGGGATTTTTTGGGGCTTTGTTTGAAACCCTAGGGATTTGGGTTTTTTTTTTATTTTTGCCCCCATTCGATAATCCCCGTCACTTGAAATCCAGAGTACTCCGCTTGGGTTTGTTTGTCTTTTTTTTAAGTCAGTAGTTGTTAACCTTTTTTTCAAACAGGTTTTCATCGTAAAATTGCATCGGAAAACAGCAAGTGCTGAAACCAATGCCCACAGCCCAAAATAAACTACTCACTCATGGATTTTCTTCTTTGATCAAACGCGACATTATGGTTTTTTGTATTTTCAGTCATAAATTATTTTTTCAGTCTTTTATGAAGCTATTTGTCAATGTTTCTTTCAAATAGGTTTTCATCGTAAATTGCATCGGAAAACAGCAAAAGCTGAAACCAACGCCGACAGTCCAAGTATGTTACTTTGCTAAGATACTTAGTTCATAAAGGCGGGGGGTTCAGGGCCCACGTTTGCGAACCAAATATCTTGCGCTCTTGGCTTCTCTATCACCGGAAACAAAAAGTATCAAACAAGACGCCGCGACGGTCTTTCATACCCTGTGTGGCAGGCGCATAAAGGAGGGGGAAAGAAAGCGCGATGAAGACCGCCTGCCCCCGACACGCGTGCTGTCTTTCAAGCCAACTTCTTGGAGGCCTATGGCTCTTGAATGTGTTCTTTTTTCTCTAAAATCCCCTTAATCTCCTTGTCGTGATAATTTCAATGTGTGCAAATTGAAACCATCTAATTTAATTGTTTTTTTATCGTTATTCTGGTTGCTGACAAAATTAATCAATTTCTTGTTACGTATTAAGTTTTTTTTTAATGTTTCCGAATCGAATGAAACCAATAAAGAGTTATCAGGGCTGATATTCATTTTAAGGTGGCTCATTTTAAGGGTCAATACCTCCCAAGTTTGGGCATAAAGTACGCCGCTATAAACAAAGATTTGGAAAAACTGCCACCACACCGATGTCATTGCAACCCTGATCATAACAAATTTTCGTCTTTATCTAATACAATTGTGGTGGCAATTTTTCCAAATCTTTGTTCATGGCAACGTAGTTTATGCTCAAACTTGGAAAGGTATAGGCCCTAAAAGACTGTTTCGAGCCACCTTAAAGGCTTAAGGGACTAAATTGACGCCTTACCCAAAATATTCAAACTTTAAGCTTTCTGTTCCTACCTCTACTAAACGTTAGTAGGGGAGACTGGTTATGAAAGCCGGCAAACATCAAACTTGAAAACAACGGTGCTGTGTTTTATGGTCGAAGCTCCCTGACCGTGCACAATCGTTTGTTTTTTTGTTCACAAATTATGACTGAATAAATTAATGCGATGTTTCGATTGGTCAGTAAGTTTAAAATGATAGGAATGCTATTGAACGTCGTGCACGGCCAGGTCCAAAAAAGCTTACAACACATACAACAAAGGAGTGTAACGGGTTTCATAACCATTCCACTTTAATAACTATGCTCTAATTATTTACTACAGCCGTCACTATAACTAGTGGATGTGCCAGTGTACAGCTGGGCCAGGTTTCCTACAATGGTAATCCAACAATTCCTGAAAAGAAATGGATACAAACACCCTCTGTAGTTCACATGGACGACAGTGAGTATTTAGTTATGTCTTCAACTCGTGCGGGTCGAGTGTTTCACTAGAATCTAGATACACCAAAAGATAGATTGTAAAAAAGTGGTCTAGATGAGACCTTTCTGCAGCGGCCACCTCTCCACAGCGGCAACGGCCATTACAGCGAGTCCCCAATCTTCAAAATAACCTCTAGACAACGTCCATTTTTTTCAGCGACTGACGAAAAAGTCTGCAATGGCGGCAAAATTTGATCCTTATGGCGCGTTAATGATTAATCGCAGCAATTGTATTTTGATTGAGTTCCATTTATTCTGCTACAGTTAGCACACACAGGAAAAAATAACGGATGCCCATTTTTGGATATTTTAGGGTATTTAAAGAATACCCATAAAAATCCCAAATTTGTTAAAGTGAGACAAGTTCCAACCAGGGAATTCCCAACCAAGTTCGCTGATTGGGACTTGTCTCACTCCTCCAAATTTGGGATTTTTGTGTATATCCAAAAATGGGAATCTGTTATTTTTTCCTGTGACAAATTATCCACAATACTTACTGCGAATGTTCCAAGCCTTGCTCGTTTTGTCATGTTAACATTTTGATTCAAAACGTTATTTAAGAGGCAGTCTCAGTAAAAACCGCCCACTCAATTTCGTGTGAAAAATAATTTTGCCTGAAACTCTGGCGAGTGAAAGGCTTTATCGAGACTATAACTAAAATAGGTTTGCTTTGATTCACAATAATTTTCTGGCCACGCTGGGCGGCGCTAAGTATCTTGTTCAGCAACGGCCAATTGTACGTCTTGAAAACTGAAAATTAGACATTTTTGCGGCCCTGTAAAATGTTCAAAGATCAGACTAGTGCGCTCCCTAGTTATTTCAGTACTATTGTACGCCTGCGAAACCTGGACATTGACAGCGGACATCCTGAAGAAATTGTAGGCCACTGAGATGAGAAGCTTTAGGAAACTGCTTGGCATCCCACACAGAGATCACATCACTAACGATGCAGTAAAAGACAGCAAGCCATTGGGCCCTATGATGATATCTTAACCACAGTAAAGAAACGCAAGTTAAAGTGTTTGCACAGGTATCAAGATCATCAGGGCTTGCCAAGACAATTTTACAAGAAACAGTGCAAGGAGGGAGAAGAAGGGGCCGAAAAAATAAGCGTTGGGATAATAACATCTCTAAGTGGACAGGGTTGAAGTTTTGCAACGCCCTAAGAGAAGCTGAAAACAAAATCAAATGGAGGGAGGGTGTAACTATGTCCGTGGCGCCCCAACGGTCGTCATGACTATGGGATAGGTGCAAGGTGCAAGGTGCAAGGTGCAAGGTGCAAGGTGCAAGGTGCAAAATGTTTGATTTGCACCATCTGCCAATGAATGTTTTATCTATTTATAGGTGAACACCTCTAGTTTTACGTAAAAGTCTTAGTTATTCGCTAAATTTAGCAGAATAGACGAAATCAAGAAGAATATGACCAAAATATATCACACCCCTACCTCTCCACAACGGCCACTTTGTTCTGTCCCCAAGCCCAGAAGGCTGCCAATATGAAGAGGTTCGACTGTATTTCCATTAATACCTTTTATTCCAGATAACTATCGTGTCCTCGGTCGCGTTATTCATATGAATTACTTGAAAGAGCAGTTAGAGACTCAATACAGCTTGAATTTTGCCGATGTGCGAAAGGAGATTATTCTATTCAACCTGGATGTTTATGCAGACCTGGTGTACATTGAGGTTAGACTTTCACAAACAATATTAATGATGACTTTTTTATTTTGAATTTATTACTGTTTCTAGAGTGATTTGTAGATTCGCTATCTTTGTAGGGTGCTATAAACTTCCCTGGAGTCGAAAGATTGAAAATATACTCGCGCAACTTGGTGGGGTCGACAGGAAGTAGCCTAGATTTGTCTGCCCCGAATTGGAACCAAGCCTTCACGAGCGGAGCTGCGCCTGGGAGTAATGGAGAAAACGGCAACAACGGCGTAAATGGTCCAACGGGTGGGTAAAATTCTGCTCTCTATGACGACATCAGATGAACAGCTGTATGTCTACATATTGATAATTAAATCTACATCTTTTCATTAGTTGAGATTTACGCTAGCACGGTTCAAGGTAGTTTTACTGTGATAGCCAGTGGAGGTGATGGACATCAAGGACAGGATGGTGAACCTGGAGACGATGCGCCAGACAGAAGAGATCAAGTAGGTTCCTTCAAGGGACAGTGTCCCAGGGCGGATAAAGGTTTATCCGCCCTGCAGTGTCCCGTTTATGTGCACGCGCGAGCGTCATCTGTTTTTTCTTCAAAAGACAATAGAACTGTCATATTGACTCGACATGATTTCCTTCCGGACCGCACCGCCGAAGGAGATTTGTTGTTTACGTTCTCAAGTAATATTTTAGACTTTCGAAGAAGCCTTTCGTCTTATTTAAAATTTGGCTCGTGGCACGAAGACTCATCGCGATTTTATCGTTAGCAGGGCCGCCTCGCGAACCGAAAATCTCGTTCCGCTCGCTTTAAAAACAGCTTTTCTAATGTGAAACTCGTGTCAGAGGTCAATTGTTCGAAGTCTAGTAATATTTGCCTGATTTGCTCGCGTTTTAGCATCAAACATTTGAAAGATATAAATAAAAATCACAGGTAGCCCAAGCTCGAAATATGAGCATCTGCGAGCATCGGCATTGTTGCGTTACATTCAAAATATAAGGATTTGTATGGGAAAAACCTATCGTTTCCATAACCTACGAAAATGAAAGGATTTCAATAAAAAACAGCTTACTTTACTTAAAATGTGTGTTACGTCTCTCCTGTGTGGTCCACGGGCCGATTTATGGCCGTTTTATGGGTTTTTATGTAAACCGTTTTCTCGATTGGAGCAGCTGGAGCGAATTTCCGGCCCTTTTCCTTTGGTGGATCGGTCGAGCCGCTTCGCTGGAGTGCCCAACCTTAGTAAACCTTTATATAGAGAGAAAACCGTTTATAACAAAAAGTAGGGGGGTGGTCTATCTTTCGATACATTAGCAGTGGCAGGCTGAAAACTTGTCAGACACATAAACGGCTAGTTCTTATCTATTTGGTATGCTCCAATTATGTAAATAAGGTCACGTGATACGCCACGCCCATAAAACCCTTGAACCTAAATGGGCACACTTTTTCTTGTTTCCTTCATTTTTCTACTAGTTTCATAATTTTAAGGCCGTTAAGTATGTCATTTCTGCGCTTGGCAATGTCAAGAGTTTTCAAAGGAAAGGCATGTTAAAATGATACATTTGTACTGGGAGACTGGGTACTAGTCGAAAAAGCCGTTTATTTTCAAAATAGATGAGATATTTGAAAGTTGCCAAGCACAGTTTTGTAGCGGCTAATATTTTGTATCTTCTTAGGGTAGTAGAGTAAGATAACTCTTGCTAAAAAGTGTGCCCATTTTTTCTTAAAGATATTTTGAAACTTTGAGGAGCTGTAAGGTCACGTGACCTAATTTACATAATTTTGGTCTGTTTTAAAGCATCAATTTTGGTGTTGTGTAATATTTTTTGGTATTTTCTGCCTCATGATAAACCATTCATATTATAGACCACCCCCCTCATTTTTACAGGAAAATGGCTGTTGACCCATGCCTTAATTTACCTGAGTCTAAACATGTAGCGCCTGTTTGTTTGATTTTGCCGGCCGTAGGAAGTAAAAGTTTACTAACGCGTCGTTGTAAAACATTCTGCTTCACGAAGCTTAATTTCACAAGATCTCCTCAGTCACATCAATGTCTCAGTGGTTTCTTTCTTACAGTCTTTATTGTTGATGTTTCATTTCTGCGTATTCCTTTCACAATTATCTGAGCTTGTATGGAAGCTGGCAGAAGAAATAAGCCTTCAATCGGCATCAAAGCGTTTCCCATCCTTTGGTCCTCGGGCCAACGGCAATAAAAGTAACGCCAAAAAAATCCTGATTTCGTCCAAATCGAAACTTAACGGGAACAATATATCATTGATCTGTAGTCCTGAGAAGTTTTAGTTAGTATTGAACTCGGCCAAGCGCGATGCAAACGGATTTTTCAAGGTTCTCTTACTCTCCTCGCATCTTTTGATTTCGCGACACCCTGTCCGAAAATGAAAGTTTGATGCATGCGCAGTAACGGGATACTGTTCCTTTAATTAACAGCTAAACAGATTTTTCTATGCATTCTCCAGCTTATGTAGCAATAGAACCAATGCGCGTCTTTCCAATACGTTTCTTTAAGTAAAGCCTGCTTTTTCAAAAATCATATGTTCAACCGGATAGTTTTATCAGTCTGACATTGTACTAAGCTATGTGAGTCCTGAAAAACCCTGGTGAGGAGCCGGGAGCTGTGGTATAAGAGCACATGCTTAATTCTCCATTAATGTGTTCGCAGGAATTTTGAATCCTTAGCGATAACAAAATTATCGACTGTTTCCTCCGCACGCGAATGTAATAGTTACCTTTGTCACCGCGTTAAACTCAAACAGGGGCAGCGGTAACGTTATCGCTTTTTTTCAAATGAGTGTGCAGGATCAATGAACTTGTTTTCCCTGATTCGATAAAACAGTTGCGCAGGAATACGTTAACGTCGATGATGTCCCAGCCTTCTGTCTTTATGTCATGAATAAATGGTAGAGGAATCTAATTAAGATTAGGTCATGTGCTTTTTTCAGTTTTTAGTCAATCATTCCTCAAGCAAGGCATTCATTGACCTAACAATATTTAGAAAACTTATTCAATCGGTTAACCACCTAAAAAATGCATATGACCTTCTCTCCGTAGTTTATTTATGAGATAAAGACAAACATATGCGACGTCATCGGCGTTAATGTATTCTCCGCGAGTGAATGACATTCCCCGGCAAAAAGAGGTCTAACCGGTCCCTACTATATTACTTTTATACTTGTAAGTACTTCCTTTTAAAGTCATTTTTCTACCAAACAGGAACTTTCAAAGACGCGAGCCGACTGCGACAACCAAGAATCATCATTAACGTGTATTAATGTTCCCGGAGTACGGGGCCAGAAAGGACAAACCGGAGGGAACGGAGGAGATGCTGGGACTCCAGGTACATCCCATTTTATCAAATTCAATTCCTTATATGCCTGGGCAGAATTCTTTCATTCATTGTAAAACTTTCAGTCGATCGAAATCTCCGTTTTATTTAGGAGAATCTGAGGCGCTCTTCGTCCTCATTCTCGTATTGCAAAGAACCTTTAGGAATCTATGCAAGTGCCTCACGAGCATGGTTAAAAATGTTTTTTCTCTTGCCATCCTAGTGTTTTCTCTCTCTGTCTCACTCCATGAATGTTTAATTCTAATATCTTTCCCTTTTTTGGCCGCTGCTTATTATTGCATGTTAATTCCTTCTTTACAGGCATTGGGGGAAACGCCGGTCGGATAATTTTTCATGTGCAGAACTTTGATGGGAGAGTGGACGTGAGGTCGTGTAGAGGGGCTGGAGCAGAACCGGCTAATAATGGAGCTGGAGGGAATGGTTGGTAAAGTTAATTATATGATAACTGCAAGTTCGTGAATCGAATTGTGAATAGTTTCAGACGGCTTTAGTAAGGCAATCAGCAATAGTTTCTAACGAAGTTTCCATATTAGTGCCATGTTTCTGTGTAGTGTGTAACGTTGAACGAGAAGTAGTTTTCCGGAATATTCCAACCCTAACCAACTCCACACCACTAATCGTTAAAATTTGTAATTTACAATCATTACACTATTTTGGGGCGAAAAATTTAAAAGAAAGGGGTTTTGATGTTTTGTACGAGCTCGTTTGCGTTCATTATCTTCATCTGCTGATTTGCGGCACTATGAAATTGCTTTTTGTTTTGCTATGTTAAGCCGTAGCTAGAAGTCAGCTTCTTTCAGGGATATAACTTGTTATGCCTTATATAACGCTTTATTGATAGGTGGTTTAGGCTCTTATGGTGGTGAAGGCAGGGTCTGTGAAGGGAGTGGATGGGGAGCTGGTGATGGCTTTGGATCAAGTCGGTTTTCATGTACAGATAAAGGTAGCGACCATACACAGGGAAGACGTGGAGGACGAGGTGATACAGGACAGTCAGGAACAAGTATGAAACTCGATTTTATTGTAGGGGAAAGAAAGGTTTCTTCCATAAATACTGTACCTTCTTGAAAAGCTCCTCTTATTTCACTGCCGTGAAAAGAATTTGTGATGTTATGCTTTTTCTTTCCCTCTCTCGCTTCAATAAGCCACGGGCAATGTTTAATGACCGGCCACAAAGTCTTAAAGATCAATTAATTGATTAACGAGCGAAGAAGTCAAAGTGCAAGGGAAAGAACGAATACTCAATCAATCAATCAACCAGTCAATAAATAAGTGAAATAATGAAAACCCGAATGAGGAAAAGAAGTGAAAATGTTTATTTTTAGCTCCAATGAACGGTGGTGCAGATGGATCAGTTGATAAATCGTCAATACAACCAGGAGAGCTAGACCAGGCTGGCAAACACAGTTACCCAATAGTACTTCTCAGAGTCATTAAGAGACAAGCTGAAGATTTGCTTTGGAAAGGTGAAGTTGCACAAGGCCGTGCGGCTCTCCACTTTCTAAAATCGGTGACAAAGGAAAGGACTGATTCTGACGCCGTTGCCATAAACAAAGGTATTGTTTAGCAAACTCGTAAGACAACTGTTGTGGACAAACAAGTAGATTTAAGCCGCCTCTTTTTCAAAATACGAAAGTGTTCTTACTCAAATAATTTTCGTTAAAACTCCAGGCCACCACCTCGGGTTAGCCTGTGTACAGCTGCCTCCTCCCCTCAGAAAAGGGGAGGGGGCGGCTGTACACAGGCTACCTGTGGTAAGAGAGTGTGGTGACCTTCTATTGCGATCAGTCTGGTATCAAAGACGCTACATCACGGTTTCTCGTTTGAATTCCAAAATGTCCTCGATCCTAAATAATTTATAATCCCGTTATAGTTCGCTGTTACCTACTTGGCGTTCCAGTTCTAACCCGTGGCTAGCAATGGCTTTTTAGCTATAGATCCAATCCTCAAGAAAACACAGTATAAACAGGGTAGTGTCGAATGGCCGTGTTACCATTTTTCTGTATTTATCGCCAAACAGTTTTGCTCCCACGCTGACGTTTTGGGGCTTTGTCATGTGGGTAGGAGGCCACCATACAGCTAGCTCTTGATATCGCTGATGTAGGACATAAGCCACACATAAACTTAATAAATGGCCATGCCTTCAATGAGTCTGTACAGTAGCTCAGTGCCGGGATATCTAGCGTCTGCCCGCTGTTTGTTAAGTTGTAGTCTCAAATCCTGTCGATAAGGCGTCTATTTTTCTTTCTTTGTTCCACACTTGTAACACGACCCTCTTATTATGGAGTGTACAGTTCTGACAACAGGTCTAAAGCGTTACCTTTCCAGCCAATAATCACCGAAATTGATCATTGTTCCTTAGGGAAACTTTTGAACCAAAGCAAGAGGCTCATGTTAAACAATACCAGGCTCCAGTTTGTAGTAACCTCTTAAGGTGCTATGGCTTAAAATAACTGTAACAGATAACCACTTACGCTTGACAATCATGTAGTTGCTTCGGCACTAAAACCGTCATAATACACGTCCACTTTCAAGCGTTTTGAGAAAACTAAAAATCGGGCCAGTAATAAGTCTCTCTGCCGTATTTGTTTTTCAGCTGTTTCACGAAAGCTTGGTTTTCTAGAAGTGGAAGGTTACGACATTTTTGGAAAGAATGAGTTGTTTGCTCCTCGAATTAAGTGGGAAGCGCTCAAGACGGTCGTGGAGGGCATCAAGAACACAGCCTCCGAGTACGAACGAGGTTACAATGACATCAGGGAATCTATCGAAAGCAAATCAGACTTTCAGCAGGTTGATATATGACCATTATGTTTATTTATCATTTGTAACCATAAAGTACAGAAGTAATCTGTGGAGTTTATGAATGTGTACCCGCCCAATGTTACCATGTGTTCATGTATTCAGATATTCATTTTATTAATCCAGTCTCATAGCTTTTCTCTTGATTATACATTATATTGTTGTTGTGTTAGGATAAAAAATTGATGTTAGTCACTCTTGAGACTTAAATGGGTCAAGTAGCTTAAGTCGATTGACTATATTTTAAGTAAAAGCACATGTTAGGAATATCTAGTGTGAAAATTGGAATTGGCACAAAGCTTAGTGATATTTGGTTAACCCTAACCTACTCAAACGAGTTCACCGCTCAGTCAAGATTTTGTGTTTTTTGTTTTTTTTTTTCTTTCTCTTTTGTGTAAAACAGATATCTCTCAAGATGTCTACATTGGCACACTCACAGGTCAAGGCAGAAAAAGATCGCTTAATCGAGGCCAAAAAAATCGCCGAGAGCGAGAAAAGGCTCTATGTTAAGGTTTGTATACAAAAGTCTAAAATGTCCCCTAAAATCATGTTTTTGTCTTGCAGTGTCGTTGCATTTGTGGTGGATAACTGGTTTCAGTCCAATTAATTGAGGACATGAGCCTTTAGAACATCAAAGAAACATGTGTCCTAAATAACGTGAAAAAAAAAAACGCTTTAGTTAAGGCATATATTCCGCTTTTGTTTTCGAGATAGAAAATTACTACACGCATCTGGCACAAAACACTTACTCGGTATAGCAATAGGGCTTATGATATTCTTTATAGTACTAAACCATCCCTCGTGTTGTGCTGTCTCACTTAGACAAGTTTCAACAACTCGACTTATTCTGATGTGACCAATAAAAAGAGGCCCTGATTAAAGTCTAAACAAGAATCGCCGAAAGGCGATTTTTAACTGGGCTGCCATAGGGCTATTAGGGAGTTTAAGATGCCCCTACGGCGACGGCAACGAGAACGTCAAAAAGCAATTGGTTAAGATTAGCAAAACAACAACTCTGCACGTGCATCACGCTTTTTTGTACATTTCTTTGCCGTCACTGCACGACTACGACGTGAATTGCCTAATTTCACGTTTTATCGACAACGTGAACATACGATGACGAATCTCTCTTACTCTTTGTATACCTGGATATTTTTCTTAAGAATTCAAGCCTGGGAGAGTTTGCTTACATAAAACTTAGTGACCGAGTTGGGATAATCGCGCTAAAGCTTCATAGATCGAGGACTGTCACTTTTTAAGCGATGTTTTTGCCGCCGTCGCCGTCGTGGTATCTTAAACTCCCTATTTTCTCTGAGGGGAGGGGGCCGCTATACGCATTCAGGCTACCATAAAAACCTGTCGCCGACCATTGCGTGAGACAGAATCTCACGTGAGACTCAAACATAAACTCATGCAGAACATTGTACCCTTTTGAAAGATTTTCGTAACAAAAAAATGAGTACCATTTTTAAGTGGGGACTGAATAATAACTTTTAAATTCCACCATTATGAATAAAAATAAACAAGTTAAAGGTTGAGTTTGATCGTCCGGGTGAACGTAGTCCTGAATAGGACTGTTGTTGTTGACAGTGACTGACGTTTCGACAACCTGTGCGGTAGTCATCTTCAGAGTCAAAGTGAGTTGTATCACGTCAGTTGATGGTATTATACACTGGTTATTGATCTGATTGGTCAATTATGTCGCGATGTTATTGGTCGTCTGTCAGTTAAGCCGTGATGTTATTGGCTATGAAGACTCGTAATCAGTGATTACCACCAATCACTNCATTTGTGCTGCATGCAAATTTTTTCCATCCGACAAGCGCTTGCAGGAAATTTTTTTTCAAAATCACCCCCTCTCCCCCCCCCCCCACCCTCAAGAGTTAAATGGTCGGCCCCTTATATTAATTAAAACCCTATGGTTCATTCATATTAATGCTGTTTTTGCCCCTCACATTGACGGTGTTCGTTCGTTTATAAAACACCTTTAGGAAAATAAACGTCGTATAAATCATGTGTATTATGTTTCGAAATAAATGGATTATACGCTTTTTTAAGTTTCCATTTTGCGGTGACTTCAGTTTACATCTCCATAAAATCAAGAAACAACACGAGAGCTGAAAATTTTCAAAGGCATGTTTCTGAAACTCGCTAATGCTGACATTCATCGGCAACTGAGTTGTTCTCTGCACTGAGTACGACAGCTTACAATCAAGTCTTCAGCCATAGTGTCGTCAACTGATGAAATAATTTGCTCATAAATTGTGCTTATTAATTGCTCATGTACTACATCGATCGATAATTCTCTCTTTGAGTTCACGAAGAGGCCCCAGCGTTCCAAACCTGATGCTCACAGTCATCTTTTAGTGTGAACCTACCGTGAACGACGTGTGGGTTTGTATGCAACGTGAGCATTTCTCCGAGTTTCCCAGCGCCAACGTCATCAACTGACTTAAACTCGAACAATAAAAAAATTATAGAGTTACTCCTATGATCAAATCGCTTCGAACAACGCAAATAACCTTCTTCAGGTTCGCAACGCCTTCTGGGTTTCTGGGGGAGCGGAGACGAGGTACAAAAAGTATTCATGTAACGGTCCGTGCAAGAGAAAATCCTATGAAACCATTTGTGAGAACATCGTTTCTCGGTACCAGAACCTCGTGTCTTCCCTCCCCCGGGAGGCCGTTTTCCTGCACTGGCGACCGAAAACCGAATTTATAACTGGGCCGCACAGGCAGCCCAGTAATAACGGTTGGATGCTTCGGTAAAATACACTAAAATCATCTTTATTAATCAGTGACAGAGCCATGTATTGTCTTTGTGTCTTTTGTGCTTGTGTTTGGACCTATAGACCGAATTTAACTGTTAACGTATTTAGCAGCGCTTTTATTTTCAAAGTTCCATGAACCGAGAATAAATGGACTTGTCGTGCTAGTAATCGAAAAGTTGTTTTTCATCTAAGAAAACCAAATCCCGCCAATATCTCCCTCTAGGCCATCGGAGAGCTGGAAAGCGAAATGAGAAGTATAACACAACAGATAAAAGGGATTCTACCTGAAGCATTAAGTGCTGCTGAATTTAACGAAGACGATTTTCTGGCAGTTCTTCAAGGCATTGTGGGTTTTGCAGGAGCAATCAGAGATAAAAATCCTTTGGATTTCATCACCAGTGCTGTTACACTTGCACAAGATCTAGCAGGGAAAAGATGCCCTTTGGGGACCCTTAAAGACAATCTTGATAAACTGGAGAAATGGCTGACATTTGGCAAAGATTATGAGGCCCTAGAAAATTCAAGCGATCTGAACTTTGACCGTGTTGACATCTCTGCTATCCCAGAAGTCATGCAGGCAAGGGAAAACATAATTTTCATATAATATATGAAATTTATTTCTTCAGAAATAAATGGTTTAATGCTTAATGTGATTGATTAATGTGTCATTTCTCCCGCTACCAGTGAGGGGGCGTTCCTGCAATCCGGAAAAAAAGTTTTTTAGACATGAAAGCTAGGCACAAGCCTCTCTGCTCACTGAAACAAGAAAGTTGGAAAACATTTTTGGAATTGTAATTATTTGGTATCCCAGCAAACAGAGCTCACCCAAAGCGAGACTCCGCCAACAGCAATCACCGACTCAATAATTACTATCTAAAGGAACATGAAGCATAAAATAAATAATGCCTTCTTTTGTATTTTTTTGCTGGGTGTTAATGTTTTATTCAGTGATATTCATTTTGTGAAGTATATATGAAATAATTCATTTTGAATTGCGGTTGTAGATGAAAGTGAAGAATGATCATCGCAGTAAATTTTCCAATTTAAGCAATTGGAAAGAAGAAGACTGAAAAAAAAAATCAGGGCTTCAACGGGATTCGAACCAGTGACCTCCGCGTTACCGGTGCGTTGCTCTACCAACTGAGCTATGAAGCCACACATTGGGAGCAAGGTCAATTTATTGAGTTCATATCTCCCGTGAGGAGTTATTCCATGTATTGTACTATATCTGATCGCATGTATTGTCTTTATCCTAAAAGGCGGATCTTGAAAAGAACAGTCAAGGTTTTGCTGCTGACATGGTCTGCCTGCTAGAGGAAGCAACGAGACCACGTGACGTAGCACTGTTTGAACAAATGATGGAGTCATTTTTCACCGTAGGAGCGTCTCGCATTGATCTTATAGGAAAGGTGATGGATTTGGATAATGAAATTGGTGGTTACAATTTTGATATTCCTCTCCTTGAGAACACAGAAGAGGCTATTACGAATGTAGGACAAGCCGGAGGTAAACGCAGATATATTTTGACGATTCTTCATCGATATGTTTTCTTTGTCAAGTTCTATCAGACATTGTCATTGTCATTGTCACCAAAAATAAGCTTCAAGATTAACGCTTTGCATTGTTTGCGAGCACGGCATCTGTTTGCTGTTCATTATGATAAAAAGGGTTCTTTACACGAACTAGGAAGAGTCTTTGATTATGGCCGGCGCTTACAATTCAAGGTGCGCCATTCTTCCCATGCTCAAAGTAGTTGGTCATAGCTTTTCAACTTTTAGTATGATAAATCCGGTTTAAAATGTAATGCTGACTACGAACTGTGTTAGTAGCTTGCGTAAAAAGGCGTTGGTTTTTCTACCACCGCTGTTTTTTTTTTGGTGCTGGTCTTCTCGCCACACCAATACGTTACGTTAGCTGGAGCTACTCAACTAGACTTCGTAATCATTTCCTATCAAAGGTGCTGAAATAAGCAAAGATCTCCAGGTCAAGTTCCTAGACAACCTTCTCAGCACATATCAAGAACTGGAAACATCGTTTATGAGAGAGGTTTATGAGCTGCACAAAGCGTTCAGGTTCCGCACGCTCTGGGAAGGCACAAACCCTCTGTCTTTATACCAACGTGTAGCTGTGGAAAGTGCTCATGGAGTAGGCCGACTTAATGGTATCTTAGAAATTACAAATGTTCTGCGAAATATCCAACAGACCGAAACGAAAGCTGTCAAGTGCTTTACTAACAACGTTTATACCACTGACATTCAGAAATGGAGTTTTGACAGCAGCCACAACAAAGGGGTAAACATTAGTTTTTCTTTCATTTTTTTGTTTTGTATTTAGCTATTTGCTACTGGTATTTTTTCGCTGTTAGTATATGATAAAAATAGAGTAAAGTGTACGTACGTTTTGTGCATCGGTAATGGCTTATCATTGGGGATCTTTACTGATAATAATTATCTATCGCGTTGTACTGGTTTTCTCGGACGCATTCCAAATATTACGCTTTCAAATGGAACGGTGGCGTTCCTTGTCAATAACAACTTTAAACCTGGTTTTCAAATAATTGTCTGGATCCTCTTGCGACGCTCGTTGGTAAAGATTCGAATGATTACCTGCAAACCATATGTATATAGAGCTTTGTTCCATTTTGAACTCAAGAAACCTATTACAAGTGTAATTTACAAGTGTCTAGCTATTGTTTTTAGACTCCAAAACAATGGGCGCACTTGTACGTAACACTTGTTAAAGTTTTATTAAATTGACCCCTGGCGTCTGTATTGTGCAGAACGGCCCTGAGCATCCCAGTAGTCCCGCATGGCAGGCCTTGCATCAGAGGTGTTTCCAAAGTGATCGTCTCCATGGCACGAACACACTTTAAACTACTCAGGGGATAGCGGAGATCCAAATTTAAAAAAACAGTTTGTTTTGATTGAGTCCTTTATCATGAAGGAAAGCGACTTTTCCGCGCTTCGCACTCGTTTTCGCGACTTCGTCGGTCGTTTTAGCGACTTTGTGGCTCAAAAAAGTAGACATAGCCAAGTCTATTTGGAAACCAATCTTCATTAAACCCTGAACAGACAGGTCATTTATCTACCTGTTTGCATTACACAAAATGCATCTGTTAGAAATAAGGCCCTACAGTGCCACAAAATCCCACATAAAGATTTCTTGGACAACTGACGATGGTCTGGTTTTGACTGTTAAACGATCTTTTTTGGGCAGATGTTTGCGGATCTCCAGCAAGGATCTACTCGGTTTCCCATCAAAGTTAGCCAAAGCTGCTCCTCGTGTTACAATGTTCGACTTCTAAAGGTAGAGTCTTTTATTCTAATACGTTGTAATGATGCCTTGATTCACGGCAGAGAGGAGTCAGATGTGGGCTAACCTAGCGGAGGCAACGTGTCAGCGATAGATCAAGCAGTAAAAATTATCTTATTAGGGTGAAAAGAAAGAGCGGTGAAAAAGAATAGTTAATCCGTCTGAGTTAATTATCCGGTACTTGCTATTGAACTAAATCATTTTCCTAATTTCTCAGCTGTATGTTGAGTTGACTGGTACCGAAGAACAACCCACCAATGTGCCTGCCACAGTTCATTTAAGGATCCGACATCTTAGCGGTTCTTACTTTCGGGCTGGAGATGACACGATCAAGAAATTTCGACAACCCCTTGGATCCTTCAGGAAAATAAAATTTAGAAGAACAGCTATCAGCGATGAAACAAGATGCGGTGAAGAGGAAAGACAAGGAAACAGTATGTTCAAAAGAAAATTTCCAGCATATATTGCAACATAAACCCAAATGTATTATTTTCCCTACTCCATGTTAGACCTGAAGTGCGGCCTTTTTAGTTAAAATGTTGGTGCAGGCTCGTTGCTTTATGTGAAAAGACCTGTACTCCATTTATTAATTATTTTCATCGTGAAAGTGGTAGTGTAATTGCGTATTAAGAAACCGTCGGTAACTCTGCTCTATACTACATCCTTTCCAGACCCTGGTTGCAGGGAGTATAAAAGCTCACCTAATCTTTCTTACCCAAACGGTTAAAATGCATTCCTAATTTCACACCAAAGGGGTAAAAAACGATTCATTTTGGCACCGCCCATACCCATAGAGGTAATATATGGAAGTGCCCCCTGGGAGGAAACCCACAAACCAACTCAGTTAATAGAAAATATTGACAAATATTATAACGGGATTTAACTGAAGAGTTAGATTGAATTGGTATTGACCAAAGATATTTTGGCAAATCTGCTTTTTTCGCGTGCTGACGACAAAATGTATTTTGGATTTAGCATGACCATGATCTTGGGTGAGACACCACGCTTGCTGGCCACCAAAATATTTGCCGGAAGGCATCCATGGAAGCATTTTCTTTCCATGCACCCAGAAACTGACAAAGGACACCTCTATTGAAATCCTGTGTTCTATTTATATCATTAGGATAATGACCGAATTCCGAGGCCTCCTTAAAAATGATGACCAAGCGCGTAGAGCGAGATCATTATTTTCAAGATGTCAAAGGGCCATCATCATGGTAGTTCATGATCTTTGGCTAACCTAGGCTTTTTCGCTTCTTCCTCTTCTTTTTCTACTTTCGTGACGTTACCAATGTCTTGTATCATTAGAGAACTCCATATTTTGCGTCACCAACAATGATTACCGCTGGCATCCAATGTGCAGCCACCCACTGAGTCAAGGTTCTTGTGTGGACCGTCTCCTGGGAGAGGAAGAGTGTAGAAGTCCTTTCGGGACTTATGAGCTGACCATACCAAAAGACAATTCTCTGTCTTGCGATCAACCGGGCATCAGGAATAAAAACTGCAAGGATTTAGATGTAAGTGGAGTGTAACGTCCTGAGTGAGGGCTATTTCGAAGTTTTCGAAGTTTTCGAAGTTTGTATTCATTGATTAAAATGGAGTTTCTCTAAAAGTCGGTTCTTCTGGTTGCTCAAGGCGGGTTAATGAATCGATTATTTGAAAAATGCATCCGTTAGTAGCTGCTGCAACCAGTCTCAGATTCAAATTTGCACTGATTCCTGCATGCGTACTGAGCAGTGACTTACCAGAAAACCGAGAAAAAAACTGGGCCAGCAGAAATTTCATGACTACCTCGCGTGTGAATTAACTGCTCGTATGTAGGAGTGCAGAGATGAAACTGAAATGTACAACTCCCGACGGATTCAAACCTTCGAATAATGAATTCATTAATGCCGTCTTGGGGGGTATGCTTGACCTACCCTGACCGTAACTAGAAATACGTTATTGTAAATTCTCTAGCGGTCTACTACGGCACAATAAACCGTCAATGTTGTTAGTTGTTATTTGTGTGTTGTTGGGAAGCCTGTTATTAAGAACAGAATCGCAATATCCTCGCGAAGCCTTAAAGTATCAGCAGTGAGAATAATGGGAAACAAGCTAAAGGGAAAAAAATGATCAAAAACTAAAAAGGCAAAAATGTACAAAGTTTAAAAGTATGGCTTCGCCGGGATTTGAACTCGCTCTCCCCGAATCTCCTGTAAGTTACGGTCGATTCTTATACTTAAAGCATTTTTCTCCGATGTGAACTCTGTTTGAAGTTGGTGGAGCTGTATGAATTCAAGGTCACATTTCAGGAAAATTAGCTTAAAGTCGTATTTCAAAGCCATTTTGCATTATATCGGTCATAATTCACTCTCGGGTGCAACGGAAACCAGTTTTGATCACTGAATCGGTCACATCGATCGGCGGGAAAAGAACCAATTCATTGTTGGTTTACCTCGGTGTTACATGAATTCAAAAGTACTGATTTTTGGGAAAAGCAAGGTTTTGACGGTAAAAAACCGAAGTGACAACGCACTTTTGAATAAAACATGATAGTGCACCACAGCATTTGCATTCGCACTTGAAGTAGCCTAAAATGCACCCTGACGTCACAGCTAGATGACGTCAACTGCGGACTCCCGAGAGATACATAGAAATATCTGCAACTCGAATTTCTGCCTCGCTGTGTGATCAACGCGCGACAAGTTTATAAACCTCGCTTCGTTCAGAAATTAAACTCGCATTCGAATTCAAAAATAGTGGAACGCACCGCCACAATACCTTCACCCGACCGTTCATTCAAATAAGCAAGGTTTCGAAAGTTGGCGACGCACACCCTGGGAAGCTGCCATATTCTGTCCTAGTAACTCCAATAAATATACGATGCAGTCTATTTTTTTCACTGCCAGTTTATATTCTAACGAGTGTCTTTCTTTAGGCTTATTAAAAGATCTACGTCGGTTAAACAAAATGGTTTTTAACCCTATCACTCCCCACAAATGAGCTTCAATTTTGCGTAATTGGGTCTTGATATACTGAATACATTTAATAACTTCAATTTAGGTTGACGTAGTGTAGTTGTAAGGATAAGAAAGTAACGCAATCAGGCCCACAGAATTTTCTGTAAAAATATTTTTTTCTATTTTCAGCTAACCAAGTTCACAAAAATGAACGTGTGGGCGCAGTTCTTGTATTGGTCAGAGGGTTACCCCCAAGGGCCAAATGATCGTATATGTAGGACACCATGGAAAGAGGAACCTGAGAACGAACCTGAGGAAGAAGGGTCTGCAAATCCCCCTCGGAACTAATATTTTAAAGTCGTCGAAACCAAAACGGTACAGCTAGCCTATAACACTGGATATATATGTACTAATGTTTGTAACTTAACTTAATACAGCAATAAACGACGAGATAAAGCAAATGAACATGTTGGGTGTCCTAAATTTGAGTCTTGTCTGCTGTAGTTAAAACATGAGATAAACAATTTCAACACCATGAAATATTTGTCACAAGTTTCATGCCGTGGTAAAAAAGACAAGGGCCACCGGATGAGACTCTAGATATTCCGCTTGTTACTTGTTGTCTGATTTTGATTTATTAAGCAAATCTTCGCGTTGGGTCACGTTCATTTTACTGTCGATGGCAAACGGCAGTCAACAGGCTCTGGCAAAGATTACAGGCTTTAAGGTGAATACTCTTTTTAATTGTTGAAGAATTTATTGACTTGATGGTAAATTTGAATTTTTTAAGGCCTTTTTGACCGAACACCATATATATAATTAGCTTCTTAGTAACAGTTCGAGGCTCCCATTGCAAAAACGTAGACATTCTCCACCGCTAATATATTTTTAACCAGTGATTTTGTTTAGCAAAGTAGTATGTTTTCCATATAAACATGCAAATTACATATATTTTAAATTATCAAGCTATATCAGTGTGGAATTTTCGTGCGAAAACTTTCCCTTATTAGCTCTAACGATTTCCTGTTAGATCCCCTATAATTTGATTTTTCTAATTATTGAGCTTTGTTTCTCCGTTAATACAATCGTATGTTTTATACTATCTATGACAAATACTTTATGTTTTTATTGATTGCTTTAGTAGTCACCCCTTTTCAATATATTTAAAAATCAAATCAAAACTCTCCAAGTAAAACAAGCCGGCCAATCTTCCTTTGTAAAATGCCACAAAAACTTTACCTGCCAAAGGTTATTGTATTTTCCATAGACAACCTTTTAGTACGCACACTCCATAAAACATTTATCACAAGCTTTAAGTGTCTGCTAAAGGGACATAATTGATAAGTTCCTAGAAAGTCTACTTGTTACTTAGCGTGTTAACGGTCTCCCGTTCATACCTATAACAGTTTTCGGCCGAAATGAACAGTTACACAGAAATTTAGAGATGGTGCTAATACCCTTGTAAGATAATGCTGACAGCTCCCCTGTAATTATCAAGAACGGGACCGTCTGCGACCGAATTCTGCGAGAGACCCTACCGGTAACAAGCGAGGTGTTTTCCCTTTTCATGGTAAATATTAAAAATGAAAACAGAGGTAACTTATCGATCAACAGGGGTAAATTTAAATAATTGGAAGGCAAAAAGAAGGAAGAAGTCATTCATCTCAAGGTATCACTTCAGAGGCGAGGCAACGTTTTAATCGTTTTTTTTTTTGTCACCTACGTTATGTTTTCTCTTATTTAACTATTCAGGTGTCTACGGTAGTTTTGCTTGTTTTCGTTCAGCACTGATTAAAAATCTCTCGAAATCAACCATTTAAAACTTTCCAACGCGTTTTTTATGTATGATGTATAAGTTTCTTCGGATCCACATCATCTTTTTGCTTCAGAAAGCTTTGTCCAAACACGGTCTGCAAGAAGAATATGGCTGCGTTTTGTACTGGTTTCTTCATCGTTATGACAGCACTGCAAATCACTGTGAAAGGTATGAGAAAAAAAGCACTACTCTTAAATTAAGTCCAAGCACAAAACCTTTCCTGTTCCGGATAGGTTTCTTTTTCACCACAATATGATGATATTTTCATATCAAAGCAGAAGTTTACCTGGCTCTAAAAATTAGGCATTAGTACTTAGTTATCACGAGTTACAGTCACCGGAGTAAATATGGTTTCCTTTAAAACTCTATTTAAGTGTTGTTATTTTCACCTAACCCTGACGGACTCTCTGACTAACCAAAGCCGCTGTTACCGTATCCGGAGGATGTGCTAATGTACAACTGGGCCAGGCTTAATACAGTGGTAGTCCAACAATTCCTGAAAAGAAATGGACTCAAACTCCTTCTGTGGTTCACATAGACAAAAGTGAGTATTTTTATATAATGTCTTTTAACAAGAGCAAAGAAGAGTCTTTCATCAGCGTTCATCATTTCCTCAAAACAGTAAAAAGTCAGTTGAAAACCGAAGGTCAAAAGAAACTTTGTTTCCAAAAATTCAACTATTACAGAAATCTGAAATACGTGTGAAAATGAGCCGTGACATGAACCGTTCTTCAATAAAGAGAGAGAGCCCCTCACTGATTTTCAACAAATACCTTTAATTCCAGATAACTATCGCGTCCTCGGGCGCGTTGTTCATATGAACTACGTGAAAGAGCAGTTAGAGACTGAGCACAGTTTGACGTTTGCTGTCACCCAAGAGGAAGTCAACCGATTCAATCTGGATCAGTGTTTTTGCGGACGTGGTGTACGTTGAGGCACGTTTTTAACTTTTCAAGCACAAAGCGCGACCAACATTCTGTGTCTCTTTATGGTATTTCCAGGGGCACCCAATGGATCTGTTCCTCAAAATATCTGTTCTTCAGGCACATTTTTGCTGGCTGGGAGATGTGGAAGAAATAATAGTCCTTGGAAGGAAAGTATCGCTGGGAAAAAGATAATTCAGGGTGTTAGGGAGTGAGGAACAGATAATTTTTTTCCAGCAATCTCCCAAAATGCTTAAAATAGTCTCAGACTGACTTTATTCACGCTTTGTTGTTGTTTTTAGGTCTTTTTCTCAAAATTTCCCTTTGGGTGCCCCTGTATTTCTGCCCAGTCAAACATATGGATTGTAAGAAGAAAAGAAATGATCAGCAAGAGTAAAGGTATTGATTAAAAAACGAATTCTCCTCGTCAGTACCATAGGAAATGTGTGGGAAACGGTAAGGAGAATATGTTGAACATTATATTTGTCAAGCAATTTCTCCTCATCGGTACCACAGATTTAAAGGTTTAAACCAAGGATTCGTTTGGCATTCAATCTACCGAATATTGGTGCATGATTGTACAGCAATTTCCCGTTGTCTATACAGTCCATGTAAATGGTTAAGCGTAGTTTGGGATATTCATAATTCCGGCCTATTGACTTTATTGGTTTCCCTCTAAATAACAGCTACTCTCGCATGTGTCATGGTTCTTACCAGTAAGCCAGCGATGGCCGATGCTTTTGAATTGAAATACAAGCTATTGACAAGCAGTTAATTTACTTCATTTTGTGATGCTCTTGTTTTTCCAGTGTAGAATCGCCTTTCCTGGTATCGAAAGGTTAAAAATATACTCGCGTAACTTAATTGGTTCTACAGGAAGTGGCTTAGATCTGTCCGCTCCGAAATTGAAAAGTTCAAGCTGAATTGTGGGAAGGGATAAGCCATAAGGCCAACATCATTGATTTACCCGAAGCTCATTATGCAAATTTTGGTCGTCTGATAAATCTGTAAGATCATACAGTTGTTAGGGCAAGAAAGTAGCGCAATTGGAGACGATTTAGCATGTTCACCGAATTCCTTTTTAATACCATGGTTCTTATTTTCAGCTAACGAGGTTCGCCAAAATGCATGTGTGGGCGCAATTCTTGTACTGGTCAGAGGATTACCCCAATGGGCCAAATGATGTATATGTAGGACACCCTGGAAAAAGGAACTGGAGAACGAACCTGAGAAATAATTGGCTCCAAATACGCCTCCGGGCACAAACGCATTTGCAAACCTTGAGTAGAGGCCGAAAACAGTACTCCTGCTCTGTAACACAGGTTATATATTTACTAATGTCTGTAACAAACTCAATACAACAATAAATGACAATGTATAAAGGTCCTGTTGACTCATACTCAGGCACATTTGCATCTAGTCAATTGTGTTTTCCTTATCCGACCACTTTTTGGTTGACTTAAGACAAACATGACTGAGCATTGACACATGGGAGTCAATTTTCAGTATCTTGTGCCAGTACGATGTTGTATCAGTTCAATATCATGTGCCTGTAAAAATATTGTGTTTTAATGCACCTTGTTCAAGTAAGTATGTCTTGCCAATAAGACGTGTCTAGTCCTAGTATATAAATTTTCAACTTCTTGTGCCAGCTCTGAGGGATCTACATACATATAACTCTCTTCAATGATCGAGTAAGTCGGATTCCTTTTTCATTTCATCTCTTTGTTCTTTGAAATGTTCTTTGTTAAGATTTGCTTTTTTTACCACAATTTTCTTTAAAAAGTAAAGCAGTAGCCACATATGACTGCCTTTTATTGTTGTTTTGGTTTAAAGTTAAGGACGTTAGTTTATATTTATCACTTATTCTGCCGACTGGATATGACCACAGGTGATATTTTTGATAATTTTACTCGTACATTAATTTTTATAAGTTTTTTTATGGCTTAAATTTTAGTTAAATATAATTTATAATGCTTACTGATCTCATCTCTAGATGGGGAGTAAATCTTTTTAGCTCTCTTGTCTATTCAAATATAAGTTTAATGATTTTCTTATGATATCTGGCTCTTAAACTTAAGTGTAATTCCTTCAGTTTTTTCCCAGGTTTACAAGAGGTTCATATTGTCACTTTTCTTTAGTACGTGCTTCCGTTGTTAATTCAATAGACTCTGCTTACTTGAAATTCTATGGTAACAGAAGGTGTACTAAATACACTATTAAGTTTAACCATCTTCTCACTTAAACGTAGTAAATAATTAATTATGTTTGGAAAAATGAAGTCGATGATTGGCCGAGGAATATAATTTAGAATAACTGTTTTCTCCAGAAAAGCTTTCCAAAATTAATTCCCTGTGGTGACCGCGGTCTCAAAGTCGATCAAAGTCTTCATCGAATGAAACAAATCGTGATGAAATGCTGATCAGTAAGGTTCAAATCGGTACATTTTTTCCTTTTAAACAAAGCTGTAATTTCTTCAAACGAAGAACCATCCCAATATCCTCACACTTGTCCCAAAGTTGTTGCTGAATGATGCTCTTTTAAAGTTGTTTTTTGTTTCATCAATTGTGATCATGCCTAAACGTGGAAGCAAGAAACGTTCTTCTCAAAAGAAAGCCAAGTTTAGCTACGAGTCCGCAGAGCCAGGAAACTGTAAGTGATACTTCGCTTTCAACTTGTGGAGACATCTTTGACATGTATCATTTATTTGACAGCTTTGCTGTCATTATAGAACACATCTGAGTTAAAAATTGTGCATGTTGAAACATCCGTAATGAATTTGGAAAAAATGAATTTCGTTTTGTCAGTTGATTTCAAGTTTTTTTGCTCACAGTATTTCAAAAGAAACTGAGGGATAGACATAAAAATGATGACAATTAAAACATACAGACGGGATTAAAACTGCCCACCTTTTTTTGCTATTTACGTCAATGAAATATACACCAACATGTCATATACATAACCGGCAATTCCATAAAATATTAACAAAGCTTCATCTTTATCAAGGCAGCCAAGGTTACTCGACTGTTTTTAGCGTGTTTGAGAGCTTTCACTTTAGTCGTGGCCGGTCGTGGCCCCCAAAAGTGAATTTAAGTAAAGAAAAAGAGTTAGAAGAAGTGATATGGGTTTTTAAAAACCAAATGATAACACTCGTTACATGCTGAGAATGGAGTATTGGACGGATATGACGTTTAACTTGGCTGATGGTAAGGAGATTTTTCGGCATTTTCTGTTTTAATCGCTGTTAAGGATATACGATATCTTTCCAGTGACTTGTATATGGACTTGACATTCTTGAAGACTTTTTTCACTTTTTTACTCTTCGAAAAGTGATTTGGCTTTTTGGTACCTTAATTATTCCAAAATTCGCCGATAATGAGTTCATATATAGTCCGTGCTGCGAGCCTTACGTACTGACAGCTAGCCTGCGTGGCAGGCGCAAAAAGGGGAGGGAGAGGGGGAGGGAGAAAAGCTTTCCTTTTTCCCTTTTTCCCTATCCCCTACCCCTTTCGACGCCTGCTACGCAGGCTACTGACAGCCGATTAAGATCAGCGAGTTTGTGAATAATATCACAATAATATTAACCTAGACAACATGATAAAATAACCCCAATAAAGATTTAGTTACCCCTTCAAGGCATCCTTTTTCAATGCTTTTTTCTGGGGCCCATTACTTTCGGAACTTTAAGTACAGTTTATAGTGGTTGGAGTGGCCTCCCCCCGGGCAGATTCTACCTGTATTGCGTTATTTTTAGAGTCAATAAATTCCAGTCTAATTCCATTTAAACGCGCCTTAGAAGATTTAAAAAGACTTGTGACTACAGGGATTTTTGGAGACTTTACTGAAAAGTTTACAGAAATATTTCTTCTGTACAAACAATAAAACATACCGAAATATAACTGATTGTAGATACGACATTAAACTAATCAGAGTTTAGTTATCGTCTGCATGCAGGCTAATACAAAGTGTGCTGCAGTTTAATAGTACAGTATTAGTAAGTGACTGTTTATATGACGTTCCAGTCCTTTTGTCTGACCGCAGGCCATATAATGAATGAAGAAAAAGTGTACAGTATTAGAGAGTGAGAACTTTGAAAGGCCGAAAGAAAAAATTGGCAATGAGTCCGGTGTTTCCGACAGGCAAGGGGACTGGGTCCCAATGTCAATTACAAACCAGGTGCCGCGAAACGGAGAATTTTTACAGTGAATGTTATTCAACTACTTCGATATTACGGTGTTTTATTATGGATTAAGATTAATCGATTCGTAATATGGAAGATATCATGGTCTACTGCACCTCTTTATTGTTTAAAAATAGCCTCAAGGAAAGCGTAGTGTTGCATGCTAGTGAAGCATGATGCAGACTCGGGAGAATAGAGAACTAACTGCGTTCATATTCACACATGCATAGCTCAGAAGAGATAAGATATCTCGAAGATGCAGTCTTCTACAATAAGAAAAGACAAAACTATCGTGTTCTTTATTAGCTGTTAAATCTAAAGTCATGGTTGGTTTCTCGTTCAGCCGGCAAGAACAGTTGTATGGTAAGATTACATTTTAGCGATGGTGTAGGGCTAACTCAAAGCCGGTTTTCAAGTTTCAATGGTCTTAATTTTTCTAGCAATGATGGGAAAAAAGGCTGACAGCCTAAAGGAGCTCAGTACGCCAGATGATTGGGAGTTAGTTGAAAGCATCGGCGAAGGAACGTATGGTGAAGTATACAAGGCAAGGAACAAGGTTACTGGAGAAATCGCTGCAGCGAAGGTCATCGATTCCATCCACGAGAAAATCGAAGAAGTTCTACCCGAGCTGGAGATTCTGAAAAGATATTCTACGCATCCAAATTTAGCTGGTTTTCATGGAGCTTTCATCAATGTGGACACTAAACATAATCAGCTCTGGCTCGTTATGGAGGTGAGATATTAAAACTGATAGTCACTTACGTCTGTCCCTTACGCTTGCGATGATTTTTTTAGCCATTTAATAGCGATTTTAGCTTCTTTGGGTATGAAATAAACCCGCTAATGACAAAACAAATGTCCCGAACCCAACTGTTACAATTAGTGTAGAGTAAAAATATGCTCTTAATTGCCGAGAATCGTCAGTGTGTGTTAATTACTTAACTTTGATTGCAATTGCCTCAAAAGTGATACATTTTTAAAGTTTTTTTAACATTTCCTTGCCGACCTGAAAGTAAAATTTGACGTAACAAATCTCATATCATTCTTTGTTGGGAAAGTTCCAGCAAATTATTGAAAACTTACATAATGCTCCAGTTGACAAATCACACATTAAACGTGATTCCTATTTGCATTTAAAAACAGAACTGCCTTATTTTGCAAACAGTCTTTTTTTGTTGGAGATATTTGTCATATCTATGCGTGAAACATGTTAAATTAAGACAACAAAATCTGTGATAATTTTGCACTTTTATGACAAATTTTATTAGTGAAAATCTATAATATACTGGTGGGATAAATATTCCTGCAGTAACGAACAGGTGGTATTGGAATGCACAAATATTGACTAATGAGGATGGGGTGGGTTAAGTTTTATAGGTCGTGGTCATAGGCGTTGAATGTAACACAGGGTAAGTGACATTCAAGGGTAATAGAAAATGTTGACAAGTAGATAATGTCAGGGAAAATAACCTCACTCCCTTCTCCAATTAACAAATACATATTCATAAAGAAATGAAAAATGTTTATTTCTCCCCCCTAGCCCTCATCCTTTTATGAGAGCTTCTGTTTGTAATAAACAGAGGAGCCTTTTAATAGATGCAGAAATGTACTGTAGCACAGGAATACCAACATTTGTAAAGCTGTCTTTTTTTCTTATTAACTGTTTTGCTTAAGCTTTGTCGTGGTGGATCAGTAACCAATCTTGTGAAGAGCTTGAGAAAGAGAGGAAAATACCTTGATGAAGACCTTATTGCCTACATCCTTTATGAAACACTAAAGGTAAATACTGCAAAAGGTTTCAGTTTTTCAGTCTTTGACCCCAGCACTGGCTATGATTTTGATGAAAAGGAAAGACACAAAACGTTTATTGTTTAAATTTTTTTAGTTTCATTTAAATGGTATTTCTGTTCAAAGCTTCAAAATGTGTTCTCCTTACATGTGCGTAGTTGAACTTGCGAAAGAAAAACTATTATGTTCTAGAGAAATCTACACCATTCGGGACAGCAGTGTCAGTTTTACTTTTATTATCATAACCATGTCAAAGTCCAATAATTTTATCCTTGTTTGAAATTTTATTTCTGTTTGTTCCATATCATTGTCATAGACATAAATCAATATACCCCAAAACAAAGAAAAATAATCTTTGAACCATGGAACCAGCATACATCATGTTTATTTTGTTTCATGTACGGTAGGGAATTGAACATCTTCACAGGCACAATGTTATGCACAGAGACATTAAAGGTCCAAATGTCATGCTAACAAACACAGCAGAAATCAGATTAATTGATTTTGGTAAGTCGTCATGTCATCAAAGACTTCAAACAGGTAGAGGTATCTTGTTCAAACAGTGTTCATTTTTCAAACTCATTAGGACAATTTGAAGCACATTAATTTACCAAGAAAGGTAAACTGTGTTTTTTAATATGATACTTTTGTATAATCAGTTATGTTACATATTATTATTTTTTATTGTACAGTTGTTAAAAATATTAATATTACCATAATCAATTTTGCTCTAAAAGCATAGTGCAGAATCTTTCAAATGTTGCAAATCTTTGTGCTGAATTCTGTTTGGTTATAACATTGTTATTAATTTGATTAAGGTACAAAATGTAAGGTATATTTAGTGAACATTTAGGTAGGCATTGTTGGCCAGTCCATTACGTTCATTCTTTATCTGTCAGTTAGCCAGTTGTCAATATTATTCAGGCAGTCTCTCCAACATTTGTTTAGTCTTTAAAAGAACCTAAAAAAATACTAAAGCCATAAAGAAATGGCCAAATAAATACAGTTTTATATTTATAGATTTAAGTAACAAGTTTAAACAATCCTTATTTGTTAAACAATTTCTTAATCTTTTCTTTGATATTAGGTGTTTCAGCAGAGTTGTCAAACATCTTAATGCGACGTAACTCATCAGTGGGAACACCATTTTGGATGGCTCCAGAAGTCATTGCCTGTGAACAGCAGCTGGACTACAGTTATGATATTCGTTGCGACATTTGGTCCCTGGGTATAACTGCAATTGAACTTGCTGATGGTGCCACACCGCTTTCAGATCAACATCCAATGAGAGCTCTGTTTAAAATTCCCAGGTCAGACTTCATTCCTATGTATTTTGGACAAAGATATGTTTCATCAGTCTTGCTGGCCTATAGAGTACTAAAGTGTGACGTCATAAAAATGAAATTTCTGAAATTATGGGATTTGTCAGGATATTCTGAAAGAACAATGTCCAAGAGGCCTGCTTGCCAAAAATGAGCATTTGGGGGCAAATTGTCTCTGAATTGTCTCTGAGATCGTAGCCCAGTTATGCTTACAAAACTCCATACAAACCCTTCTAAGTTTTTTTTGGGTCGACCCAAAAAAAAATTAGAAGGGTTTGTATGGAGTTTTCTGAGTATAACTGGGCTACGATCTCAGAGACAATTTGCCACAAAATGCTCATTTTTGGCAAGCAGGCCTCTTGGACATTGTTCTTTCAGAATATCCTGACAAATCCCATAATTTCAGAAATTTCATTTTTATGACGTCATCACTTTAGTACTCTATTTAGTTCCCACCAAGGAGGTCCAGTATCACACTAAATTTTCTTTTCTTTTACATTGTTATTACATAGTTATCTCATAGTTTAAATACCGCTTAATGTTAGTTCTCTACAAGTTCATTCATTCATCCATCTGTCCATCCATCTGTTCATCCATCCGTCTGGTCACAAGTTCATATCTTACAGTATTTCATTACACATTTAATTAATTGCAATGAGACAATTTAAGAGAGATCAAACTACCAAGCAGTGGAGTAGGATTCTAATGATAAAAGTACCAAAGAATTAAAAGAATATCTAACAAGAACATGCAAATTTAATTTCAGGAGCAAGCCTCCCTCCATGAAGAATCCAGAAAGGTGGTCTCATGAATACAGAGATTTTATTGCTAAGTGAGTAATAATATTGTATTTCCTTTTTATCTTCAAACGATACATCCCAATAATGGCATTGCACAATTTTAGAAGCCCCTTTATGGGAATGCAAACAAAGTTTTCTTTTTCTGCTCTTAAGATAGACTTAAGTATGTTTTGGAATATACTTGTTTTTTTTTTTAGGTGCCTGGTCAAAGATTTTGAGACACGACCACATGCAAGTGAAATGTTGAAGCACATGTTTGTATGTTGGGTGGCATCAAAAAGAGAAACTGTAAGTCAATGCTTTTTTTATTATTTTTGTTTTTGTTATTTGAATTGTACTTATAAAAAACTATCAGCCAGTAACACTTCCTAGAAAACTGTAGTTATAATAATTATAATGATAAAAAAGATAATTATGTTATAGATAAAAATTATTATTAATAATAATATAATGACAGTGATGAGGATCATGATTATGATCCCTTATGGCATTTTCAGTTACTACACTGTCTATGACTAACAAATATATAGTTTACCTCTCACTAATAACACTCTCATGTCACTATCATCTGAGATGGGGTCAAAAGAAGGTCTCCCAAGTTTTTCATAAAATGTTAACAGATTGAGTGGTCTTCTCTGTTTAGAGATAAGTATCATGGACATGATTAATCTCTGACCAAATCCAGGTTCTTTGTGAATGCCTTATGTCAAAAATATGAGTGGTATTTTTCATCAATTTTGAATGAAACATCATTGTCTTAGTGAAAATAGAAAATCATTGTTATTGAATCTCTAACAAAATATTTGCAAGCATAGGAGAATAATTTAATGTATATAGACACTACTTTGAAGGTGTTACAAACTACAGAATGGGGTTGCAAGAAGAAAGCAAAACCACTTGCAACTATTGCCACCTATGTTGTGGATTGTTTTTGTTGGTGAATCATGTTTGTAGTGGCTGGCAACACTTTATCCATAATCAATATCTGTGGAAGATTGTAATAATGGTCATGCAAAGAAATGATTTATAAAACACACATTCTACCTTGAGTAAAGGTTGCATGACATGTAATGTAAATTAATTGACAAAAAATGTTGCAGCTTCGCCGAAAGTTGATGACATTAATGGAACTTCAGTATGAAGGAAGAGACGGTATCATGGATGAAGCCAGTAGGGAGAAGGACGACAAAATCCTGAGGTTTGTGTAACATAAATAATGCTGTTAAACTTATTAATTATTAACAATAAATGACTACCCTTCAAAAACACTTTTTAAGATGAGTGCTTAAAGCTTGAATTTATTTGTTTTTCACCTTTGACAATTTGTAATTATATTTTCTATGATTTTTGTTGAGCTGTTTATATAGTCTCAGATGTTTACTCACACTTGACTATCATGATGTATAAGAATAATAATATTGTGTGAATGAAAGTTTGATTGAAAGTGTCATAACCATGACCAGTGACATAATTTATATATATATATATAGTACTCTTTATCATTGTTGGTGGTTAAATTATTTTTATGGATAGCAAATTCTTGAAAATCATTTTTTTTGTAAAAATAGAATAAATAACTGCAATCAAATGCTTTAAAATCCAAACTCTATGCTGAAGCAAGTTCTATTTTTAGCATACATAATGTATAACTTTACATGTATTATATACAAAGTTTGCTTTTTCATTATTTTGGGTGAAAGAGGCTTTTTTCCTAAATAAAATAAAGAAAGAAAGAACACAGAAACACAGAATTCCAAAAACTCTTAGTGTGAAAATTAACTAAATCATCTTACTGATTTTTATCTTTTATTGCCGAGCATTTCCTCTTTGTATGTGCTTTTTGTAGTAGATTCGGCCAAAGTAATAACAAGGTTACTCATTGAAATATTTTGCATGACAATGTTAATTTATGTACAAAAATCACTGCTGAGATTTTGTGTTTTTGTATGTGGATCAAAATATTAAGATAATGTTAACTATCTTTCATTTTTTTGTAGTCCTTTGCATGTGCCAAACAAAAATCCACTGCGCAACGATCAAATGCATCGCGTAGACAACTTAGCAGAGCTTGGAAGCCTTACAGAGGTATGTTGGTAAATGGTACCTTGTTTGATTGAAATTAATCCATATTTGGGAGAAATTTTACTTAGAATATAAGGTGCACTGGGTCTTGAACTGTCCCAGAATTTTGTAGCATGAATCTTCCAAAATGCTTCCACCCTGCAAATCTTATGAAACTATTTCCTTTGGGTTTGAATTGAGCAGCGCATACAAAACTTTAACGTGGTGCGGTTGATAACCATTCAGTGATGATTGTCTTTTCTATGGCACAGGATATTATACTGAGTCATCTCCTGGAAAGATATCTTGCTAACCAAATCTACACCTACATTGGTGACATTTTAATTGCTGTTAATCCACTGAAAACATTGAACTTGTATGGCCCAGAGGTGAGTTTGCATGCAGTTATCAAGATGCAAAATGTTACCAAATGCTGCCACAAATTGATACACAGAATTTCTTCCTTGTATTACTTACATGTATGTTAGAGATGTAATGTGAGTCTGAGTTCTCCTTGTTCAATGCTATTGCTGAGGCTTGTCAGTGCAAAGGTCATAGTGACTTTTATAATTTTTATGACAAACTTGTGAACTTAGGGGTTTCAAGCCTAAGAAAGGACAGAAACGTTGTAGGCCCCAAAAGTCCCTAAATTTTCGACGTGAACAATATCTTCAGTTACACTTTTGTGGACCAAGTACATTAATCTAAGCATTGGGCTTCCAAACAGAGTTATATTCTACTAATATAGCAAAAATAATATTAAAATACATAGTTATGGTTTCTGTCTCATCATCACCCAGGTCTTTTTTTCTCCTTTCTAAAGCATGCAAACAGATACAAAAATTCTCAAAAGAGTTCTTTACCACCTCACATTTACATGATAGCAGACATGACACATCAGGCGATGGTACACAACAAAAACCCACAGGTAAGGAAACACATGTACATGTAAGAAATTAGGAGGAAAACGTGGCATTTTGAAGATTTTGAGTTGTGGCAGACTGTGAACACACTTTCTTTTTAGAGTATAGGTTCGATAAAAAGCATGAGATTAAAAGTAAGGGAGAGGCTCTGTCTGTCACTGAGTTGTAACATTATATGTAACTTGTCTTCTTGTGTCTGCCTCAGCTCACACCTGCATGTACACTATTGGGGCTCAAAACATTGTAATATTTCATAGATTGATATGAATGAAGTTGCTGTTGCGTATGTAAATATAAAGGTAGCATAAATAAAAGTTTATATTTGAACCATTTTATCCAGTGTAGTGTTATTTGCATTGGCTTTCAAAATTAGCATATTTTCATTCCTTTTTCTTTGGAATTTTTTAAAAGATTTGAACTGTTTTGCCTGAGAAAATAGAGACAACATTAAGTTGTTCCTTTTCAGTGCTGTCTCATTAGTGGAGAGAGTGGAGCTGGAAAAACAGTATCTGCAGACTACCTAGTGCGGCATTTGGCTGAACTAGGAAAGGTACAGTGTACTGATGCATGCTTGTGTAACAAATAATTTTCTTTTGTCATCAAAGCATGACAGTTTGGTATTCAGATCTTTATGTAGAGTTAGTGTCACTCTAAACAATTTTTTGTGTTCATATTGGTGTTTATTAGCTCTTTGGTTTGACAACATTAATTACACATTCAACTTTTACTCTGACATATAATAAATTGCCATCATATTTTCTTTTATAACAGGCTGGAAACAGAACATTGGAGGAAAAAATATTACAGGTGGGCAAAAAGATATAGCAAGTGATATGTTTTTTTATTGCATTTTTTTCTGGCCTATTTGACTCTGTTCTGTCCATTCAGATATCATGTAAAAGGTCTCTTCCCCCTAGCTTCCCAAGCTAAAGTTTGGAGTACAATTCAGAGTGTAATAGGAAAGTTCTGTTACTCTGAAAGGAACTGTGTTTTGGGACTCTTTGATTGACAGGTGAACCCCTTAATGGAAGCTTTGGGAAATGCACAGACTATAATCAATGAGAACTCCAGCAGATTTGGTAAATACTTGGAACTCCATTTTACACCAAATGGTGCCCTCACTGGAGGTAAGGAGAGAATCTTGTTACATAATCAATGTTTTTGTCCCAATTTTTGTGGCCTTAGGTTCCATACTTAGTCAATCTTACATGTAAAGTCATTCATTAACAAAGGATGGTCAAGATATCGCAAGTGAAGCTATTAACTGTCAGTATGCTGTTACATTTGAAATGCACTTTTCAGCTAATCTTAGTCTGGTGTTTTTAAGGGATGCTTTCAGAATATTTGTTGGAGAAATCCAGAGTTGTTTCACAATCGCAGTAAGTTTATATTTTGTGTTAGTGTCACTTATTGAATAAACAGTAAATAATGTTATGATAAGTTAGAGTTAAAAAACTCATCTCACATGTCATCTCTATGATACCTGCATGTATAGATACTGGTGAGTAAGAAGATATTTTTTTGGTTACCATTATGGCTATTACAATTTGTTTGTGCACGGTCACTTATTTGACAAATATTATTTTAAAGATTGTTTTTATAGCTTGTCATTTCTAAGTTAAATAAATAGCTAAATAAAGAAATGATAATTATAGTGTTTCTGCCTGGTTTTTGTATCTGTAGGGGAGAAAGGAATTTCCATATATTTTATTACATGATTGCTGGACTGGCTTACAACAAGAAACTGGAGAAGTATTCATTCAAGCTCTATGCACAGCACAAGTAAGTATGATTACATTTGTGTATGACAAAATCAGTAAAGCCAAAGGTTTTTATACACACTGTTTATTCTTTCTTCATTGTAAGAATGCTTCATGCTCAAGAACGTTACTACACATACTTCTGTGGTCTGGTTACAACAAACACTAATGTTATAAGCAATGAAACAAGTTTCTTTTGCAGAAAGTGTGTGCTTAAAATTAATTGTTTGATCTGTTTTCCAGCATACGTTGTAAAGCAGTTTCACTCATTTTTCTATCTCATTACTTGTTACCTTTAGTTACCTTCAGTCAGGAGGCAAGACTCTACAGGATATGGTTTGTACTCTGGGTAACAGACGTAAGTTTGAGGAAGTTCAAAGATGTCTTGATGTTATTGGTTTCAGTCATGAGGTAACTGAAACTATGTTAAGTGTAACAATGTTAACGCACACTATGATCTTAACTGTGCAGTAGAACCTCAATAACTCGAACCTGGATAACGCGAAATCCCCGCTCACTTGAACTAAATTTCCTTTCCCTTGATCACAATATTTTCACCGAAATTTACCCCGATTACCCGAATTCCCCACTAACTTAAACTGTTTTTTCCCTTCAGAGTTCGATGTAATAAACAAAATGAGTTTTAGAGTGGATGAGAGCCTGGGAATGTGGCTGCCACTCATCACTCCTTGTCGCTGGATGTTTTGTAGATGTTACAGGTCAAAATTAAATTCAGGTTAAAGTGTTTGAACGTTAGTTGTTTCTCAATTTCCTTTGTCTCCTATCCCTGAATAATTCATGAATAATTAGGGCTAGGAAACAAAGCAAATTGAGAGTCAACCTAGGTTCAAAATTTTAACCTGGATATAATTTTGACCTGTAACATAGACATTAAAGGGATCTTCCATCCTCATTTAAAAATGAAATTGATGTTAACATGTGTGCAAAAATTGACAGCTGGCAAATCATGATTCAAAATTCAAAACAGTTTGGCTTGGGAAATTAAAAAGAAATGAAATAGGCGATTTGCATGAAATCCTCTTTCATGCAAATTAAGCTAACAGCGTCAAAGTGAAAATCAATGAAATACATCTGATACATGGCAACTTAGTTTGGGTGTTGTTTTATAGGAAGTTTCACAGCTGTTTTCCATTCTGGCTGCTATCATTCACCTGGGAGATATTCATTTCACTGAGGATGAGTCAGTTTCACATCTTAGTGACAAAAGCATGGTCACCAATCCACAAGCTCTGCGTATAGGTTTGTATAACTCAAATTTTTCCTTCACCCTTGCTATTGAAAAACCCCCGGACCCAGATTTTCTATTCTTTAAAGATGTATTTTTTTCTTGAATCAGTCTTCACCTCTGCCCACATCTTGCCCCATGTATGTAAGGGTAATCCAAGACAGTCTTAAATTCTGGATTCCATGTTGTGGATTTCAGATCTAGGTACTGGATTCCAGTCTTTGTCAGATTCCAATTGTTAGTGGGAGTCCAGTGTCCTTGAGCTGTATTCCCGATTCGACAAGCAAAACATTTCCTTATTCTGGAATCCGGATTCCCATACATGGGGCAACATCAAAATTATGCAAATACAAGTAAGCTGAAGACTCCATGAGTGAAGATGGAGGGGGGGGGGAGCTCCTTATCATTACCCTCCCCCAACTGGCCTTGTAACTGGCCATGTCAAATGCCACTGTAAGGGAATCGTCGATTTGTAAGATGTTAGGTACAAAAAGAAAAAATTCAGTTCTCACATGACCAGCTTGCGTGTCCGCATTGTCAAGGTCTTCTTTGTTCTCAACGGTGACTGACTGAAAAGCAAAGTATGTTAATGTGTTATTCTTACTTATTCATTCTTCGCCTAAATGTTGAATTTGAAAATAAAGCTATCCTTGGTGGAGGATTTTTATTTGTATTACTTTCTTTCAGTTTCATCACTTTTGAGCATTAACGCAGTAGAACTGAGGGATGCACTTACCACAAACAGCAACGTAACTAGAGGTAAGGGAAAAAAAAACAAGCAAGAGTCGCCTGGAATTTTCTACCCTTTATTTCACCTTTTTATAATTCAGGTTTGACCGTTAATTTTCTGGAAAAATTTACTTGTGAATGAAAGTGTTACATGAGCAGAAGAAATTTACTCTAATTTACAGTCACGTTAGTCCATTATAGCCCATAAAAAAGAAGGTATCTGCGTAGTGGTTCTGCAGCTGAACAGACGACACAACAGAATAAAAAGCAAAACTTCAGTTTCGCAAACCAGTAAGGTATTCATTGGTTTTTCTGTAGCTCGTCATTCATTTCAGTATCCAGCTGCCAAGCCAGTAACCAGTCAATAAGTCTATGTGTGTATTCGCTTACCTCTTTGGTTAACTTGTCCACTACAGTAGTTAATGATATGGAATGTCTGACTAGAGTAGATAACTGATTGAGTATTCCACACCCTTAATCAATTATTTATGTACTCTAGTTGATATATCTTTTGCTATGTACTGCTTGAAGAATGAGATGTGTCAGACATAGGCATGTTGGCCTTCATTCACTCAGCTGGGTAGGAAGTGTACATGTCCTAGCCTAGAAAGTGAATGTTTAGACTTTGTTATTTCAGGTGAGACTATAGTGAGAAACAATTCTGTCGATCAAGCTGTTGATTACCGTGATGGAATGGCCAAGGTATATCATGTGCTATTTGTTATTTTCCTCAACTTAATCTTGCATTTAACTGGGTGGGTGTTCCTTGTGGTTCTTTGTGTAAAATTTTGCTGAAGCATCTTTCCACCCAAATTGAATCCAAATTCATCAGATTTTCAACTGTTCTTTTTTTTTTAGGCACTCTATGGAAATCTCTTCAGCTGGATTGTTCACCGGATTAATGCTTTGCTGCGGATCGACCAAAGACGTTTGACATCGTATGTTTAATCAAAAAACTTCTCCCTTACCTGATCGTACATTCGGAAGTGAAGATACTGTCCTGTAGAAGACACTCTTCAAGTGTAATATTTTCATTAACTGTAATGACTGCAAGTACCATCTTAAGTTCAGACAAACGGACAATACAAGGAAGTCTACCCCCATTAGCCTTGATTACAGACCTAGTTTGCAATCGAGTCATAGAGCAAAATTTTCTATTTTCCCCAAAGGTGTTGGAAAGTATTCAAATGTTATAGTGCGGGTGCGGCCAGCTATATCAAATTCTGGCCAAAGAAAAGAGGAGAACAGTTTTAGGAATTCTTAACAGTTTTTAATGGCAAGTGTTTCAGTTGAGATGAGTAAGGAATGACCAGATAAAACTTTGTGTTTGTGAACTGTGTTATGCGTTGTTTAAGACAAAAAGTTTCTTTCAGGGAGAATGACTACAGAATTGGGATTCTGGATATTTTTGGCTTTGAAAATTTCAAGCGCAATTCATTTGAACAGCTTTGTATAAACATCGCAAATGAACAGATCCAGTACTACTTCAACCAGCAAATCTTCTCTTGGGAAATGGTGAGTCCTTGGACCAAATGTTATTTTCTAGCTAGATCCTTTTAATCTTCATAATTTCTGATGATAAAGGCACTGGAATTGAAGTCCAGCAGTCTTGGGTTAAAGTGCCGTTTTTACCACGATGCCCTATTACTTATTGTGCCGTAAATTCTACTACAAGTAAATGAAAATTATTCTAGTCGGTACTTTTGTTTATTTGTAAAGTGCAACATCACTTGCGCAAAGACTTCTGGGACTGTTAGTAGGGCGGGAAAAAGTGGCTAATAGCTGATCTGTGCATCCCCAGTCCCCAATGATCCAAGAAACAATTATGGGATCCATTTTGGCTCCAGTTGCCTTCTTGTTTCTAAAGTTGAGTGGCGAATGGGGTGTACATACAGTGTGTCTGCTGTCACCATTAAAATACCCATTCTGTTGTTTTTTTTTTTGTTTTATTTAGGAAGAGTATCGTTCTGAGGGAATTTCTATTGAGCAAGTTGTATTTACCGACAATAGACCTGTTCTGGATATGTTTCTTCAGGTACAGCAGACTTATTTTCATGTAATACAATTCTTAGTTTGCTCTTATGCTGAGGGAAAAGGGAAAACAAAATGGTAAGGCTGAGCTCAAGAAGTAAATATTATTATTGATTTTTTTCTTGTTTTAAAACACTCGTAAAATTTCGAGAGAAAAGGGGTCTTCGAAGCAATTAAAAACGTTTCTGCGTTCGAGTATTGCCTTTTCTTTTGCTTTACAGTTCTTAACTCTAAACTGTTGTTTTGTTAACATGCTAGAAACCCATCGGCCTACTTGCTTTACTAGATGAGGAAAGCCGCTTCCCCAAAGCAACTGACTTCACTCTTGTGGGTACGTTATTAATGTTTCAATTCATCATTCGAGTCCTCTTTACGTTGTCACTTTCCTTATTACTATGTCTTTTCCAGTGTTGTTACATTCACACTTAATCCAATAATCTGCAGAGAAATTTCACAAGAATATTGAGGGTCCACATTATGAGCGATCTAAAGAGAATGACATGCATCCATCATTTGTCATTGTACACTATGCTGGACGGGTATGTACTGGCTTTGCTACTTTTAATTGCTTCTTTTGTTTTCTCTTCTATTGCTCTTCAACTGTATTCACTCCCCTTGTTTCCAGGGTAACATGTACCTTGGCTTTTATCTTACATGGCGAGTGTGGTGTTATGGGAATGGTAACAGTGTACCATGTGAGGGCCGAGTACAACCTTGTCCCCAGGCTCCATTGTTATTAAGAAGACATAGAACGCAGGGCATCATGGGTAGGAATGCAGTGCAAACCTCCCGTGACACCACTCAAGCCATTAAGTTGTATTCTTTTCCATCTCTATCCTGTCTTCTCTCAGTCGATTGTTCACTGAACTGTGGTCTGTGCAGGCCTATTAACCATTGCATATCATTCATGTTTGCCCACTTCCTAGGTAAAATATAATGCAACCAACTTCCTAGCAAAGAACCGCGACACTTTGTCCACCGACATCATACATGTACTTCGATCTAGTGGTAAGGACAATACTTAGGTATCTAAAGTATTAACTAACACCAAAAGCAGCGCCGGTTGATATCTTTTCACTTCAATAGCTTCATTGACTTAAGTACTATGAAGTACCTTTTCAGATTTAAACAATCAGCTTGATAAGGGGTCAGCTGCATAAATCGTAACGCGCTAGTTAACAGAATCGGATTCACCATTTCTTAAGGGGTATTTTGCATTTCATCTATAGTGTATTTAATGTCGTAGCAGTTAGCGTGTGTGGGACCTCGACAGCAACCTGCTTACACAGGTGGCTCAAACGCGTTGCATGTGTAAAAACAACTGTACATTCATAGTTTATGCTTTCGTCAACAGATAATCGTCTTGTAAGAACTCTTATGCAGCATCCATTGTCGAGAACAGGTGAGTTGTTTTGTAAAATGCAAACGTTTGCAAAGTTTTCTTTCACGCTTGCCTGTGGTATATTGGTACAATGCCGAGTCAAACTCCAATAACTTAGTTTCAATTGCCTCAAGCCTCTGTTTCAAAGCGAAGTTATGTGCAAAGCTATTGATACGAAAATTTTTTTTTATTTTCATGAAAAAAAAAACATTTTCACAAGAAAGGTTTTTTCTCTTAACCTCCTTTTGGAACTCGGAAATGACCCATATTGCTTAAAAGGATTGCTAATCTTCTGAGCCTTTTCTCACGTGACACTCCTAACTGTGCTCCCCTGATTTAGTCCCATGAGACACTTAAGCTCCTTTTCTTGGCATTTCACTTTTGCTGTTTCCTCGACGTTCTGAACAGAGTTCTTGTGCAGTAAGCTTCACTTCACTATTCTTCACTACTCTTTTATCTGTGTTCTAGTTGTTTCTTTAGTCTGTTATTGTGTTCTCTCTCTGTCACCCTCTGGCTCAGATCTTACTCATCACGTAAATGATGATGTCACTCATACACTGAATCCCAATTGGTGGAGGGTGAACAAGCCCTTCCCAGAAGCCACCAAAGCCGTAACAGACTACAAAGCTAAGGAGAGCTGGCTTAGGGGTGTGCTTAGGAAGAGCAAGAGTCTTGGTAAGACGGCATGGAAACAGAAAAGTAGCAATAAGCAGAGTTCTTGGTTGAAAATCTGCAGTGGAACTAACAACACTTCTTCTAGTTTGCCTTGTTTCCCTGTTGTAAGAATCAAACGAGCTCGCCTTTATAGCAAACATAAATCGGATTGTCAGCTACTCACTCAGATTATGAGTCACTTATTGTCTTGTATGCGAAACTAAAATAACGGAGGCTAAAACTAGTTTTAACTTGCCTCCTTCTCCGCCGTCCTAGGCGAGTTCGGATCTGACATCACACTTTTAACCACTGCCTTTAGTAACTATATATCGCGGAGATTTCACATCAAAAATGTCTTATACTTAGCAAAACATCTTGCTTAAAGTCGTCAAAACTGATTTTACTGTTCATTTATCAAAGCTTCAGTATGTTTTGCATTTTTAATGACTCGAAAGATGAGTTTAGGGATCGGGGCTGTTCAAAATTTTGACTGTTGTAAGTATTCCCAGAAATGTTGCTATCCCCCATGATGACATCATCTCTGATCTCTCTGATGGTTCAAGCTTTGTTAAAAGTAGCATTTAATCGTGATGTGTTTGCTGTACAGGGGTGACAACGAAGAAGAACAGTTCTCAGCCTCCAGCGACGAATATCGAGAAAGACAAGGTACAGAGTTATTAGAGGTAGATTAGAGTTATGCGTGTTATTTGTTCTACAGTAGGTAACGATTCAGTCAATCATTGGATGGTAAAACTTAGCATTTTAGTACTACTCTTACGAGCACGTTATCATTGGTATTGGCTTTATTCTGACTGACTAGAAAGTGGTGTAAGAACTTACCGTTGCTTCCACCCATAACTGATGTAGCGGTCGTACAGTTTTTACTATTGAGTACATTAGATTTGTGAAATTCTGATATCATTGAACATCTTATGTTGTGTCTTTACCACGTTAGCAGTTTAACAACTGAAAACAGTACAGTACTTCTTTTTTTCCTGTAGAAAATCAATGGCCTGTTGAGTTTGCCAGAGACCAAGCTTCCCTTCTCCTCTGCTTCAACGTCCAGATGGCAGCAAACCGTTTCTGTTCACTTCAGGGTAAGTATGAATGTAAGGTTGTCTTGCATAAGCTCGCAGAAATGAAACCAATTACTTATCAGCTACTTCTTTCCTAGGCGCTTAGTACTTTCTGTCAGAAAGTAGAGAGCGCATGTCATGGGAGGGTGTAGTGCACCTATCCCATGACACCACGCGCGCGGCGTTTGAGCGAGAAAGTCGTTTAAGGACGAATAAGTTGTTAACAAGAGGACGTTTTAAGAAGAGATGTGAGCTTATAGGAACTGGAGTAAGATTTAAGGTTCTCTCTGAATGGTCTTTGTTCTTCCTTTAACTGTCTTTTTTTTCCTTTGCTGGCTGTAGTGTTCTTTACGAGATCTTTTGGCTAAGTTACTCCCGACAGAATCTCATTTTGTGAGGTAAGTTGTGTGAATCCCTGCCGTAAAAGTGTGATCGCTCAGTGTACCTCCTTGACACATTTAAAATCGAATTATTTTTTAAAGGTGCATTCGACCAAATGAGCAGATGATTCCTGGTAAATTTGACCAGGAAAAAGTTCAGACTCAGCTTAAATATACAGGAGTGCTGGAAACGACAAGAATCCGTAGGCAGGTCAGTGAGATACATCACAACTTAGCGTGAGTTTTTAGCCTTAGAAAACAACCGACTTTTCACGACGCTACCACTGGTTTCCCTGAGAAATGACGTCTGAGAAACAGCTTCAGAAATTCCATACTAATGACGCGTCACTACCCAGATCTGGGTAGTGCTTCCTATTGGTTGAAGCAAAATTCCTCTCGCTGCACAACCAATCATAGCACTACCCAGATCTAAGTAGTGATGCGTCATCAGTATGGAATTTCTGCGCTCGTTGCTAGACGTCATTTCGCGGGGAAACCAGTGGTGGTGTCGCAAAATGTGGGCTTGTTTCTCATAACACGCATGCGGCATAGGGTGTCTATTGACCCCGGCTGGACCACAGTTGGTAGTTGCTAACTAGTACAACCTGCAGGCCTTCTCTAACACGCGATGACCTTCATGAGCTTCATCCGCTGGTCAGTCGCAAGATTTACGTAGTGATTTTGAGCTTGCTCAGTCTAAATATTGTTATCTTTTTAACTTGTTTTCAGGGATACTCGGAGAGAATAACGTTTGCGGAGTTTGTTAAAAGGTTTGTTTATTTCTGAATGTAAAGGGGAAAGGTGGGGGAAGTTTGAATGAGCCACGAACTGAGGATACGCGGTAGTTAATTCTTATCATGTTAACCTGTTCCAAGCGTTCAGCTCCACGTAAGAGATATAGAAGTGTGGCGCGAAGTCCGACTCCTTGCGCGCGCTGTCCCGACAATCTAAACGCTTGAAACAGGCTATTGTATGTTTCTGATATCATTATGGCAAACTAAATTGGCCATTTCCGAGTTTTAGAAACTGTCACCTTTAAAACGAGGCTAAGAGCTAACCTTTTTCTTGTGGAAATGAGTTTTATCTGCATGAGAATAAACAATCATTTTTATATCTATGGCTGCGCACTTAGCCTCGCTTTGAAACAGAGGCTTGAGGCAACTTTGAACTGGCCTATTCCTGCACCCTCAATAGACAAAGTCACACATGTCTTAATCGTTTTTTATCTTTATTTCTCGCAGATACCAAGTGCTTGTATACCCTCTTTACAAGAAAATCCACAGTGATGCTACGTCCTGTCGTGTAATTTTAAAACACTGCAAGCTAAAGAACTGGCTGATAGGAAGAACCAAGGTTTTTCTCAAGTATTATCACGTAGAAGAACTCGCTCATCGTCTTGAAATGTATCGAAGGAAGATCGTCATTCTGCAGAAGGGTATGTGTTATAAACCGTTTGATCAATTAATTTAGCTTCGACGTATGTTCACACTCAATTGCTCACACTTCAAGAGTAGGATGCTCACCAGGCAATAATGTGAACACATTATTTATGTATCCATAGTTACATATTAGACCAGTTTGTGCCGATGCGCTGCAGTAAGTATGAACATAGCCTAATTAAGTCACCACATCAGTGATCACATTAGTTTACTTGATCCAAGGGATAGCAAAAGAAGTGGCGGTGCATATTGCCTTCAACTTCAAGCAGATAAGGGGTATTGACAGATCTTAGATTTTCTTTCCCTAGCTTGTACATGGGAACTTTGCATCAACAAGTGTACCTTTGTAAACCTAGTCTGGTGACCACTAAAAGTTCGGACAATTTCCGATTGCTTCCCCTTTATAAAGAACTAATAAAACTAAATATCATACACACAATCAGCTGCTAGTTTTACTCTCTGTGCAGTCTAACGATAGATTTGTTTTTCTTTAGTCATCAGAGCCTGGATAGTACGAAGAAGGTTTGAAAAATTAAAGATGAAAAGACGTTATGCTTCAACTGTTATTCAGAAATGTAAGTGTAATTTTTCCAGTGAACATTTCTAACCACTCAGACTATAAACGGAGGAAAGTTCGTATTGCACGCCTCCTCTAAGAGGCCTAGGGCAGCTAATTTTCACTTAATTTTGTCGTCAAAGTTGCCCCGGAAGGTTATGAGCGAAATGCGTTTTCTGTTTTCCGATTTATTGGTGTAACTTTAGGATTTCACTCACAGGTGGTGTTCAAATGAATATCTCATTTTGTACTGCTCAGTAATAAGAGTATGGACCAAGTACATGTGGTAGCATTTTGAATGCAGGATGAAATTCCCAGGCAGAGTGTGAATGTTTGTCAGCAATAAAACATTTTGTGGCGTTGTTTTTTTGCAGACGCCCGCGGTTACCTCGCCCGAAAACAGTATCTGCTGGAATTGAAAGAGAGAACATCAGCCGCCTTGGTTATTCAAAGAGGTAAGCGATAGTGAAAAGTTGGGACAATCAACCTGGCAAATGAGTTAAAGCATGAATGAAGTAAGTGCTAAGCGCTTGCGGAGAAACCAGCCTTGAGTCAAATGACCAGTAACTTTTATCTTTTCTAGGAGGCGGGAAAATATTTTTTTTAAAGAATGGTTAGTTAAGTTAAGTAGTCTTTAATCTTATCATGTGCTACAAGAAGGTAACAAAAAAATGCGTCCTAATTTACAGGGCCCTGTTACCATATTTTTAGTTTAAGCCAATTTTATGTTTGGCAGCTTACCGCCGACTTGTTCAACGAAGAAAGTACATGTGGTGGGTAAAATGGTTCCACATTCAGCAGAAAAGAAAGTCGAGGAGTGTTATCAAAATACAGGCTGGTAAGAACTTTCGTTCTTTTTCCATTTGTTTGTTGGTTAGTGTTTCCGTTTTTAAAAAAATTGCAGTCTCTCGTTTAATTTATTCGGCTCTATCGTGTAATTGAGTGGAACATTTTAAATAATTGGTTGCCCGGGGTATTTCGTACCTAGTTTTATTCGTATTTTCATTGGCTCGTCTAATTTCTGCAGCTCTATAATCGGCCCGAAGTGGAAGTTCCGCGATCATCATCATTTAAGATGCAGTGCATTGAGGTTTAAGTAGGAAAACCTCTATTGTGTATTTGATTTGCGAGTGACTCGGTGGGTAACTGTCTGTTTTGCAGTGGTGCGTGGATATCTTGCAAGGAAACGTTACTTACGCCAGCGTCATCTTAGGAACAAGAGTGCTGCAATCATTCAAGCAGGTAAATGCATATTACGTTATTACAGATAAATGTGGCTGTTTGCAAGGGAATAGGTCAGAAAGAATATATCACAAGCGGTTTTTGTCGGTCAAAAAAAAAAACATCAATCAAAAAACCAAAAATAACGCGAACCAGGCTGAATTTTAGAGGTATCTTGAACCAAACAGTGGCAGATCAAAATGATCATTTAGGAAGTTTACAGTGAATAGCCACGCGAAAGGTTGTATCTTAAGATACAGTGATATACAAGTTGTGGTTTAAATGTCAAAAAGAAAAAGATGAAATTCTAGCAGACGTCATTCTGCCGCTAGGCAAGGTTGCACGAAACATTTATGTTGCTCATAGTACATAAGGTTTTCTACATCTTACTACCCTAGTTTTTTGTTTATACAGAGTTTTCTAGAAATTTTATCGTCGGAGGAAAACACCGTAAGACTTTTTTACGGACTCAAGTTTGTAATCCGAAACTCGCTTGTTTTGAACAATATAATCGAAGATTTATATCTGGTGGAAACTTTAAAACTACGAGAAAGGCCAACGGCAGATGTACATGGTACCTCTTGGTCTTTTTCTTTTATGCTGCTAGTTTTGAGAGTTAAAAAGAAAAGACTGTTTTTGTTAATTCGTCCGTGAAACACGTCCCTTCCGAATGAGTCTCGCTTGTCAAGAGGGCTAACAGGATATGCTGACCTACCCAGTAGACCTAATGGGTATTTTTTTTACGAAGTGCATTCAGTTGCGAGAAAATCCGATACTGATGAGAAAATTTCTTGATATATGTTACTTCTTTGGTCAAGGATTATTCGTAGTGGCAAGTGCATTGAGGCTGAACCAAGGGCAAAACAGTCAGTCATTCTCTGACATACTATATCAGACTTTCACTATCCAAACAGTGAGCGAAAACCTTTCTGCAGTCCAGTAAAAGGACAATGCTATGGAAACAAGAACTTTACTAAGTCTAAAATGAGCTGTAACTCCGGAAAGGCTTTGAGCATAGCGGAAGAAAAAATACCTTGTCACAACAGAACGATCTAGATACCTCGCAGTTTTATATTTACATTCATAAGGTGAGGTTATCAGAGAAAGCAAAGTAGAGAGAAAACAAGGTAGCAGGCTGAAATAATTTGTTTGAAGTTAAAGATTTTCTGTCACCTACATGAGAACACGAACTTGTTTAGGTAATTTTATCCTGTGAGAGATAGAAAATAACTTTCCGTTTCTTTTTGTTAGTTTGTTGTTTTGTTATGGTTACATAGTTCTACCATTGTACAAGGGAATCTGTTCAGTCAGACGTGCTCGTTGAAGTCATGTTTTGTCTTTTTATTTTTTAGCTTATCGTGGAAACAACGTCAGACGAAATTTGTCTGAACAGAAAATGTCAGTGGAGAGAAAGAGTAAGATATAAGGAAGCTAAGGAAATAACAATTAGTGTCACGTGATTTTTTTTTTACTACATTTTTTTGACGTCGTTGCTTTCTGTCAGTTCCTCGGTTGTATTTTGAATTATTGCATTTTTTTTGTTCTTAACAGAAGCCAAAGAAGGAGCAGCTCTTATGATTCAGTCTGGTAAGAGAATTAACTTTTTATGACTCCATAGTGGTGATTAATAAGTTGACCAGTTAGCCAATCTTCAGTTAGCTTGGCTGTCAGTTGGTCAGTCAGTATGTCTGTCTGTCAGTCAATCGTTAAATTTATCTTTCTCTCAGACATATGATCTGATCTTTCAGACGAGTAAGTAATGTAACGTCATAAACTTCCATTACCTGTGAGTCAGTCAGAGAGTTCATGAACATGTCACAATTTTCATTGTCACTTTGTTTTATAACTGTCACTCATCTTTCCTAAATCCGTTTCTGTGTCCCCAAATGCTGTATCTATGACTGAGCACTGAAATTAGCACAGAATATGTTATTTACAAGTCATATTTGTTCCTGTAAAATTTTACAGCTTATCGCGGTTACAAAGAACGCCAGGATATTGCAAAGCTGAAGCTAAAGGCAGAGAAAATGGAAACAAAAATGATTTACTTTTTACAGCAGGCAAGAAACGTTTCTCCGCCTACCTTATTAATTATTATTCTATCGTAAAAATTTTTATTATTCTCGACCTATCTTATTAATTTCACTGTCTCGCCTCGAATAGCCTTGTCAGCTTCGGGCAGTGCTTCTGTTGTATTATCTGATTATTAATAAAGTTTATTGTTGTTGTTGTTAACTTATTTTTTGTCAAGAACGACGAAAGGTTGTATAAACACAATTGACGTATTCTTTTTCTTGTTTTAAGGTCGAAGAATCATCAGATTCAATGCTGAGAGCACAAAAAGGACACAAAAATGTACGAGTTGTGTTTTTTGAATTAGCTGTGTAGTTTTGTTTTATCTTTGTGCAAAAGTAACGAGTTTGTGCTGTTATCTTACAAAAACTCCCAACAACATGGTTGCAAACGGACGCTACATGTTTAGAGTTGTTGGCCAACAATGTTGCATCCGTTTGCAGGGGCCTTTAAGGTACATGACTCTTATAATGGAATAGTATTCCAAGAGTTTTGATTTATAACCGTCACTATTCTATCTCTTTACATTTTACAGGTGGATCTCAAAATGAATCGTATCGTTATCAGAGGTTTGTTTACTTTGTATTTTCGTTGCTGCCTTTTCTCTTAAAGTTCATTCTAAGTTATGTTTTCTCTTTTGTAGAAGGGAGACGGTACGAACAGGAAGATTTCTGGCCAGCAGCCAAACAAAACATTTTAACAAGACAAGAAGGGGAAGCACTTGCTTCACAACAAGAAACACAAATGATTTACTTCATTCAACAGGTGGGCAGCACCGATCCGACCCCCTCCAACTCTACCCCTAACCCTACCTCCCTATCACTAGGGATATGTGTTTCCTAGGTGTAGGAACACATATCACTAGGGATACGTGTTTCCCAGGTAGGGGAACACATATCACTAGGGATATGTATATCACTAGGGATACGTGTTTCCCAGGTGGGGGAACACATATCACTAGGGATACGTGTTTCCCAGGTGGGGGAACACATATCACTAGGGATATGTGTTTCCAAGGTGGGGGAACACATATCACTAGGGATATGTGTTTCCCAGGTGGGGGAACACATATCACTAGAGATATGTGTTTGCCAGGTGGGGGAACACATATCACTAGGGATACGTGTTTCCCAGGTCGGGGAACACATATCACTAGGGATATGTGTTTCCCAGGTGGGGGAACACATATCACTAGAGATATGTGTTTGCCAGGTGGGGGAACACATATCACTAGGGATATGTTTTTCCCAGGTGGGGGAACACATATCACTAGGGATACGTGTTTCCCAGGTGGGGGAACACATATCACTAGGGATATGTGTTTCCCAGGTGGGGGAACACATATCACTAGGGATACTTGTTTTCCAGGTGGGGGAACACATATCACTAGGGATACGTGTTTCCCAGGTGGGGGAACACATATCACTAGGGATATGTGTTTCCCCGGTAGGGAACACATATCACTAGGGATACGTGTTTCCAGGGTGGGGGAACACATATCACTAGGGATACGTGTTTCCCAGGTAGGGAACACATATCACTAGGGATATGTGTTTCCCAGGTGAAGGAACACATATCACTACGGATACGTGTTTCCCAGCTGGGGGAACACATATCACTAGGGATATGTGTTTCCCAGGGAAGGAACACATATCACTAGGGATATGTGTTTCCCAGGTGGGGGAACATGTATCACTAGGGATATGTGTTTCCCAGGGAAGGAACACATATCACTAGGGATATGTGTTTCCCAGGTGGGGGAACATGTATCACTAGGGATACGTGTTTCCCAGGTGGGGGAACACATATCACTAGGGATACGTGTTTCCCAGGTGGGGGAACACATATCACTAGGGATACGTGTTTCCCAGGTAGGGGAACACATATCACTAGGGATATGTGTTTCCCAGGTGAGGGAACACATATCACTAGGGATACGTGTTTCCCAGGTAGGGGAACACATATCACTAGGGATATGTGTTTTCCCGGTAGGGGAACACACATCACTAGGTATATGTGTTTCCCCGGTAGGGGAACATACATCACTAGGGATATGTGTTTCCCAGGTGGGGGAACACACATCACTAGGGATACGTGTTTCCCAGGTAGGGAAACACATATCACTAGGGATATGTTTTTCCCCGGTAGGGGAACACACATTACTAGGGATATGTGTTTCCCAGGTGGGGGAACACATATCACTAGGGATACGTGTTTCCCAGGTAGGGGAACACATATCACTAGGGATATGTTTTTCCCCGGTAGGGGAACACACATTACTAGGGATATGTGTTTCCCAGGTGGGGGAACACATATCACTAGGGATACGTGTTTCCCAGGTAGGGGAACACATATCACTAGGGATATGTGTTTCCCAGGTTGGGGAACACATATGACTAGGGATATGTGTTTCCCAGGTAGGGGAACACATATGACTAGGGATATGTGTTTCCCAGGTAGGGGAACACATATCACTAGGGATATGTGTTTCCCAGGTGGGGGAACACATATCACTAGGGATATGTGTTTCCCAGGTGGGGGAACACATATCACTATGGATATGTGTTTCCCAGGTAGGGGAACACATATCACTAGGGATACGTGTTTTCCAGGTGGGGGAACACATATCACTAGGGATACGAGTTTTCCAGGTGGGGGAACACATATCACTAGGGATACGTGTTTCCCAGGTGGGGGAACACGTATCACTATGAATATGTGTTTCCCAGGGAGATAAGGTGCTTCACAAAAAAGAATATATAGATCATGATTGAAACAATTTCTTTTTCTTTTTTTTGTACAACTGTTTCAATGGTCCATTTTTTTGGCTTCTTTCCAAAATTTACAGGCGGCAAAAATTCTTAAAGTAGCCGGTGATAGTGCCGGTTGCCGGTGCATTTTTACAACCCTGTAATGTATATCTATTGTTTATCATTTAAACTTGTCATTAACATGATCAACGAGGACTATGCGTCGAGGGTAATAAGGATGGCGCAGTGATGACAGCACTCACCTCTCACCAGTGTAGCCCGGGTTCAAATCCTGGCGTGTATTCTGGGTACTCCGATTTCCCACTCCCCACAACTCCAACATGTCCACTTTCAAATTCTATCTGGTACACACGGACACGTTTAATTGAGTTCTCAAGAAATCCTAAATGATTTACAGTTTGGGGTCACACCCATCTGCGTTAGATTAAAACATGTTTGTGTCTGGGAGGTTGGTACATGTCTGTTAAGGATGATGTTCATGTGCTCAATAATTGTCAGTATTTGGCTGATATTGGTTGACCGTGGTTTTGTTGTTCTTAGGTGAACTCGTCATGGCATGAGTTGTTAGAACACACCAAGTCACATCAGTATCAGACGTCTGATGAACCAACTCAGGTAAGGGATGCACTCTTGATTCTTGATATTATAAAAATGGCCAAATTTTAAGTTCCTTCATCTTCCTCACACTTTTTCTTTCTCGATATTGACGTTGTCAGTGTCTATAACGGTAGGCAAGTACAAGGTCATAAATTCAATGACATAGGGACTTTCAGCAATTCATAGCCATCAATCAGAAAACGAGCGTTTATTACTGCCAACTGACAATACACACACGGGTAGAATGGAGCCGAGTTAAGTCGGTTTTCAAACGAGGTTCTAGCTAAAGAGGTGCAACGCTTTTTCACTGTATTCTTGTAACCTGCCCTTCTGGTTAAAACAGAATCCATCAACCAGAGTACAAGTACTTCCTACTTCCCTTCAGAAAGGACAACTACAAAAGGACACACAACCTGCTAATGAAGTTCCCGCTGCTGTGAGCAGCTTTGAAGTTCGTCCCAGTAAGTTAATAGGCAGATTTTTCAACAGGACGAGAACGTCAGTTTTCGACGGGAAAGCGCGCGGAAAGGACTAAACACGACTTCCGTTGCTAAATTTGCCGCTCTGCCATTGGCCAGTTGTTTGATTTGCGCGCGCCGTCGTGAACTGACGTTCCCGTTTTGTTGCTAAATCAGCTTAATAATGACCTCATCATGCAAAGGCGTCAACCGGAAGTGGATTTTTTCTGCACGGTGGTTTTTCCCAAATTGTTGGGCAAATCGTCTCTACATCAGAGTGAAGACTCTAAGCAATACAAAACCTTGACGTTACCGATACAAATTAGGTAGCCTCAAGGTTTTTTAAAATGACCTCACTTCTGGTGGACGTGCATTGCTCAGAAACGCTTTTCTATAGTTCTCTAGTATCTTTACTACATGCGATTTTCTGGTGGAGGGGGGATTTTTGTTCCGTAAAGGAAAGATTTCCATTCCATAGGGGTAGGGAAGGGGGCACGCTATGAATGAGGTTGACCTAGGGGGTTCACCCTGTAGAAACAACGAGTAGTAACGTAAAAAACCAAGTTCGGGTGATCGATTGTGAACTAAGACTAGCTTGCAATTGAGGCTAATATATAGAATATCATCGAGAATACTAACGCGAAGTGCACGAAACCTGCGATCACACGATCTCGAAACATGGACGATTTCTTGAACTGAATAAACGTAATATCTGGAGATATTCACATAAGAGCTCAGCACGGCCGCTAACTCAGAAACTCTCAAGTCCCGTCCCGTCTTCTCCTGTCCCCGCCCTCCATCTTTTAAGTCTTTTCTCTCAAAAGTGTGCCCCATCAGTTTTCAAGAATCCCCAATTTAATTTTGTAAGATATTGAAAAATAAATGGTGCCATGCAAAAGTACTGCAAATTTAAGGTTTTTTGTTTAAATGTCAGACACCGGGGTCTCTAGCTCGCTAACACATTGTTACCCTTCTTTAGGAGAGATTGTTTTAGCTGAGATACACAGTAGAGTTTCACCTCGCAAAGACCGCAGCTACAGGTCTGTAGATATATTATTTTTTCTCTCACTTTCCAGGGCCTCTTTTCTTGTCCTTAAAACAAGGTCTCTTCAGATCTGCTTTTCATGTTTGCGCGGGTTCCAATCAGTGATTTAAATTATAACGACTCGAATCCGAGGTCAGGGGCAGTTGTCATGTATCCTGTCCTCCTTTCAAAAAAAAAAAAAATCACCATAGACTGTATTAGCTTGCAAAACAGCCGTCTGTCGTCGCTCCTCGCCATTTGGGACGTTTCGTCAGGAGGGATATCTGCGCCTCAGCGACAGCAATTCCTTATTGATGACGTAAAATTTGTCCGGAATCTGGTTAGGAGCTCTGAATGGTCGATGTAGTGTTTTATTGTTTGGCTCTCTTTTAACACTGATCTATAATTTTATTTCACAGGAAGGAAATCTGGTCCGCCGGCGACGAAACGTACTTAAAACATTTCACAGTAAGCTTTATCCTCATTTTGCTAAGAACATAAATAATTCTCCGCAACCAAAGGATGATCTTTCGCAGCGGCCAGTATATGGCGCGTCACACAACACTCTTCCCATGTTCCTCAATGTATCTTCCCATGTCACGCATCACTCCTACACAGTAAAAACAGTAACAGTAAAAACAGTACAACTCTGAACATTTTAACATATTCTGACACTGTTGTTTACATTTGTAGGACGCTGACAGACTGAAAAAAGAATCGAAAGGTAAAGTGTTGATATTAGAATCTAATTACCTGAAATATAACTTCAGATAAGCAGTCTCTCAGTCAGCATTTTAAACGGACACCTTTTCAGTTAGCCTCCCCGCAGACGTCCTTTGGGGTTCGTTTGTCACGCATTCATTTCTCCCCCACGAACCCCAAAGGACGTCTGCGGGGAGGCTACTTTTCAGTTTTATACGGCTTGATCTATTTAGAACCTCAAAAAAAGACAAAAAAAACGTTTCCGTGGTCAAACCTTTCTAGTTTTGTTTAAAAACGGACGCGTTCTTGCTTTTCATAGGCTACATCTGAAGAAAGTTGTCCAAAACTACTTGAATGGTGCCTAATAGGGCTCGACCTCTTTACCAACAGAAACATGTCATTGAGACACCCGTTGATTTCATAATTGTTAAATATATGGAAAAGCCGATCGATGGATCGATGACCACCAATTTTTTTTCACTGAAGAAATCTTTTGCTGCTGCATTGCCTTTTTTAGATCAAGAACGCCGTATTCGAGAAATGTTATCTATTGTTGAAGGAAATACAGATGAAGTGAGAAATTCTGAAGGAGGCGAGGAAAAAGCAACACCTTCAGTAGCAAAGGCCAGGTACAAAAAAAACAAAGATATGTATAAATTAATGGTCATAAAACTGCACTGAAGATCTATTAATACAATAATGTTCCATTGCTCGTAGGAATTTTTTTGAGAATCAAGAAAAACCACAACAACCAAAGCCTGTGTTAAAAAAGAAAAACAGCAGCGAGTGGAAACCAAAAATAGTAACAGAGGAAATCCCACACAAGCCTCCAGCAGCAACCATTTTATCTCCAAAACCAGTTCCATCCAAACAAAGGGAACCTCAAAACCAGGCTGATCTGGTTAAACTGGCTTTGGCTGCTCAAAAGGATGACGGGCCAGTTAAACCTGAAAAAGCGACGATACCTGTTAAATTAGATCCTTCGTCGCAGTTGGTAAGTATCTGAGTACCTTGAAAGCAGAAGAGAACGGAGTGGCAGTAATTTCACTAGTGTCTTCATCTTATGATTGAACTTTCGTTAGGATGGGGTAATGGTTCATTTGATCTGTTGACTGAAATAAGAAGGTCATTTATATTGGTTCACTCGTCAAGATAAAGATGTTTGGTTACTTCCAACACCGTAGTATGATAGTGAAAGTAACAAATGTTTAATTCAACCGTCTTAGTTCCAGTTTCATGGTGTTATATTTCTACTGATGAAGAGTAAAACTCAATATACTTCAACACTTTTTATGATTCTATGATTCTTTTTCAGCCTTACATCCCCCCACCAGACTACAAACTTCCTGCTGAGAAACGCGGCTACTTACGTCACGTGACCCCAAAACCAAAACAATTGCTACCAGAAAACTTTCACGTGGAAAATGTTCATCTGAGACACCAGTTCCCTAAGGACAACCGCCGCACCCAATCACGTGAGCAACCACAGGGATACTCTCACTTGCTACGAAAGACCGGAAGAAGAGGAGAACTGGGGATACAAGATGACGATGACAGTGACGTCACTCGAATATCATTTAACGTGCCCTTGATGGGTGTGTCATGATACGCTGACTGCTGGCCAGTTAAAAATTGACTGTGGATAGTTTATTTTGTATAATCGTGTTTTGCAGGCCACTCATTTATGCCATACTTTTACGTATCTCACGCGTGAGCTTTTCAGAAGCCTTCGTGACCGGTGGAAGCATTTACGAGCACAAAGGCTTGGTAGAAAAGCTGCGCGGAGAATGAAGAGGAGACCGCGAGGATGATTGCATCTCCTTCAAAACTCTGACATGTGCACTAAAACCAATCCAGAAAACTCTCTTTTAAGCCTCGGTACTGGCCTGGAAAACTTTACATCTAAACTCAAATCCTGTGATGCGACAGTTCAAAGTAACCCCTTAAAGTACCACTTTCAAGTCAAATTTCCTTACAGCATTTAAAATGAAATGGAATTTTGACTTCGAATTAAATACCTTTAAAAACATATATTAAAGAGTTATGGAAAGCTTCGCTCTATAAAAAATGAAACAGTTCCACAATATTTGTTGCATAAGTAGTTGAGGAGGCATAGACTTGGTGTGAAGACTGCACAGCACTTTTGCAGGTTTCTGCAGGATTTGTCCATAAAATTCTTAAGTTATTCTAGTACCCAGAAGCCCCACTTAACCAGTGCGCTTTGCTCACTGTGTTTTAAATTCTCAAATCAGATGTAAAAGCAGTATGTAGATATATAGGCCTTTGTATATACAACAGGATATGTACCAACCATTTCCAAACAATAATTCAGAGATATGAAATAGTCATTTATTGCGATAAATTTTTTCTACCAAACACTCTAATTAAAATTTACCAATTCAAAAGTCATCAGTCACTGATCTATGTTCACGTTCAAAATGAATGTTAAATGTTAACCATATGTTAACACATCTGAAAAGCTTGTTTCCTAGCTAGAACATCACTAGACAATACTTCAACGCCTGCTTTACTCAGAATCAAACTAGAAAAAAATCTTGTTTTTTTTTGCCGGAAACCATGGTTTGACCTCATTGGAAAATACCCAATTTTGGCCTTTACGAAAGACATTTTTATCGTCTTGAAAAGCTTCTTTTCTTTCTAGACCATAGCTTAACATTAGTTCTAGAACTATTTTACTAAAAAACAAACTAGAAAAATGTTTGGACTTTTTGACCGAAACCATGGATGGGTAAACCCCTTTGGAAAATACCCATTTTTGGACATTACAAAATTGACATTTTTATCGTCCTAAAAAGCTTCTTTTCTTTCAAGACCATAGCTTAACATAATTTCAAGGCCAATTTTACTCAAAAGCAAACTAGAAAAAAATTTTGGATTTTTTGACCGAAACTATGGGTTAACCCTTTGTAAAATAACCATTTTTTGGACTTTGCAAAATTGACATTTTTATCATCATGAAAAGCTTCTTTTCTTTCCAGACTAGAGCTTAACATTATTTCTAGGCTTATTGTACTAAAAAACAAGCTAGCAAAAATTTTGGATTTTTTGACCGAAACGATGCGTTAACCCCTTTAAAAAAAAACCATTTTTTGGACTTTACAAAATTGAAATTTTTACTGTTCTGTAAGGCTTTGTTTCTCTTTAGACCAAAGCTTAACATTATTTCTAAGTCTACTTTTAAAAAAAAAGACAATAGCAAAAATTTTGGATTTTTTGACGGAAAATACTTTTCCTTTGGAAAATACCCATTTTTTTCGGACTTTACAAAGTTTACATTTTTATCATCATAAAAAGCTTTTTTTCTTTGTAAAACATAGCTTAACATTATTTTTAGAACAATTTTACGGAAAAATAACCTGGAAAAAATTTTGGAGTTTTTGGCCGAAACCATGGGTTAAACCCTATGGAAAATACCCATTTTTTGGACTTTCCAAATTTAACATTTTTACTGTTCTAAAAGGCTTAGTTTCTCTCTAGACTAGAATTTAACATTATTTCTAAGCCTATTTTACTGAAAAAGAGGCAAGAAAAAATTTTGGATTTTTTTTGCAAAAAAACCATGGGTTAACCCCTTTGGAAAACACGCATTTTTTGGACTTTAAGAAATTCACACTTTTATCGTCATGAAAAGCATTTTTATTTCTAGCCCATAGCTTAACATTATTTCCAAGCCCATTTTACTCAAAAAGAAACGAGAAAAAATTTTGGATTTTTTGACCGAAACCTTGGGTTAACCCCTTTGAAAAATACCCATTTTTTGGACTTTACAAACTTGACATTTTTATCATCATAAAAACCTTCTTTTCTTTCTAAACCATAGCTTATAGCCTATATCGTAAAACACATTTTCCTGGCCTATACTGCCTAAAAAAGTTAAAGTTGTAAAAATGGCCATTTTTGGACCAAAACCATGGGTTAACCTCTTTGGAAAAATCTTAATTTTTCGACTTTTTGAACTTCTTGTTTTTATAGCCTAGAAAGGCGTTTTTTCGTTCTAGAGTATGGTAAAACACATTTTCCTGGCCTATACTGCCTAAAAAAAAAGGTTGTAAAAATGGCCATTTTTGGACCAAAACCATGGGTTAACCTCTTTGGAAAAATCTTAATTTTTCGACTTTTTGAACTTCTTGTTTTTATAGCCTAGAAAGGCGTTTTTTCGTTCTAGAATATCGTAAAACACATTTTCCTTTTTAGTTCTAGGCCTTTTTTACACAAAAAGAAACTAAAAAAAAAATTTAATTTTTTTACCAAAAACATTGGTTAACTCCTTAGGAAAATACCCATTTTTTGGACTTTAGTAAATTCGCACTTTTATCGTCATGAAAAGCTCTTTCTCTTTATAGACCATAGCTTAAGATTATTTCTAAGCCTTTTTTACTCAAAAACAAACGAGAAAAAATTTTCGAAATTTTGACCAGAACCATGGGTTAACCCCTTTGGAAAATACACATTTTTTGGACCTTACAAAATTGACATTTTTACTGTTCTGAAAGGCTTCGTTTCTCTTCAGACGATAGGTCAACATTATTTCTAAGTCTGGTTTTTTCAAAAAATAAACGAGAAAAAATTTTGGATTTTTTGACCGAAAGCTAGGGTTAAGCCCTTTGAAAAATACCCATGTTTTGGACTTTACAAACTTGACATTTTTATCATCATAAAAACCTTCTTTTCTTTCTAAACCATAGCTTATAGCCTATATCGTAAAACACATTTTCCTGGCTTATATTGCCTAAGAAAAACGTTGGAAAAATGGCCATTTTTAGACCAAAACCATGGGTTAACCCCTTTGGAAAAATCTCAATTTTTCGACTTTTTGAACTTGTTGTTTTTATAGCCTAGAAAGGCGTTTTTTCGTTCTAGAATATCGTAAAACACATTTTTTTTTAATTTCTAGGCCTATTTTACTCAAAAAGAAATTTTAAAAAATGTTGGATTTTTTTACCAAAACCATGGGTTAACCCCTTAGGAAAATACCCATTTGTTGCAGCCTCCTCCTCAGGCGCTTCGTTTTTTGGCATGGCAGAGGCGAGCGCGAAACGCGAGTGACTGGTGATGAACCGCAAGGGACCATGGGAAGGGTACAGACGGTTCGTGACTTTCAAGGTTTTCTCGTGTTCTCCCAACATCCCGCGTGGGTTATCACGCCGGTAAACTCATAGAAAGTGTGGTCTATTGCTTAAATAAACGTGACTTGTTTCAATGCAAAATAAATTGTGCGAGCAACTCATAGCTTGTCTCTCTTTTTTAAAACATTTTCCATTGATTAGTCCGCTGACGTCAATTTCGGTAAGGTCTCACTTTCAAAACGAGGCTAAGTGCAATTCTCTTCACAGTGAAAATGTCGCCACATGTAAGGGTATATAAGACAGTGTTGGATTCCGGATTCCAAACCACGGATTACGGATTCCAGGTACTGGATTCCAGCCTTTGTGAGTGGAACGTGAATTCTGGATTCCAATCGTTAGTGGGATTCCTGATCCTTTGAGCTGTATTCCGGATTCCAAAGCCCAAGATTCCAGATTCCACAAGAAAAAATTTCCAGCATTCCCTTACATGAGGCGAGAAAATGTTTTTATTGAACAAAGTTGAAGTTGAAGTTGAGGTTGAAATGAGTTAAGAAAAATCATTTTCAAATCAATTGCTTCTTACTTTGTCTAGCGCAAATTTCCTGTTCGGGGAGACGACAGCAATCTGCAGAATCGGCACTCAACTCAAGTTGGCTGTTGCTACCAAGGAGGTCCGGCCTTGGTCCGGCCCAGACTACTGCTACCAGCCATTGCAGGAGCTAAGAGGGCCTAAGGACTAGGATCTTATTTGCCTCGATCTCATGTGGGCATGTGCACCCCAGCTAAAACGCTGAGCAGCCGAGCATGTGATTCATTTTATTTTCGAGGTTTTGTAACGTATCGTTTACTGATGCTCGGCTTTTGTACAACTGTAAAAGGTAAGAACTATACACGGAATTTATTGCTGAACTTGTTGAAAGTATTTTGTTTGATGTTGTGAGTTTCAAATGATGCGATAATGTAATTTGTTTTGAACAGATATTGGACGGTGGCGGGAAATACAACACCACGCGTGAAAGTTGGCGGCTGAAGTTAACTTATCAGAGGTCAGTTAAATCTTAGCATTTCGCCACGACCATGGCCCTTGTTATGCTTTCCTTGATAAAAATAATGCTGCCACTACAGAGCCTCGGATACACGTGTAAGACTATCTATCTTTGGAATAGTTTTTACCTTTTGTTCAGTCTCCATGCTGGGAGAGTTATCTTTTCTTGCCAAAAGAAGATGTAAGGAAATATCAGGGGCGGATCCAGGAATTTTTGATCGGTGAGGTCCAAACTTGCCTGATCACAAAGTGGCAATAACAGAACAGTCCCAAGACTGTTTAAGTGTCCATCACCTAAATTTTTTTCTTTTCTTTTCTGAAACTATACCTTATTAGAGTAATCTCTGTGAAAATATTTTGCGATTTAAACAAAACTCAAACGCGATTTTTTTGCAAATTTTTGATGTCTACAGTTTTTGTGGGGTAGGTACTTCATGTATGGGGACATATATTGTACCGCTTTTACCTAATTAACTTATAACTTCACTCTTTCTGCTTGGTTCCTTGTTGCCTTGTTTCCTTGTTACTCTGTTTCAATGTTTCCTTGTTACCAAAGTAACAAAGAAAACAAGGTATCAAGGAAACAAGGAAATAAGGCAACAAGCAACCAAGCAGAAAGAGTGAAGTTATAAGTTAATTAGGTAAAAGCGGTACAATATATGTCCCCATACATGAAGTACCTACCTTTTGTGGTACATCCACCCCGCTGATCACGCAAACTAGCAGGCTCGCATATGACATCATATGACGTAAATTAAGGAACTCGCGTTACCTTGCCTTCACCAGCTGTACACCAAAAAGATCGATTACAAGTAAGGATTGAATCATTACATTGAACGTTTCCACAGGATAAAGTGAACTTTCACGAGAAGAAACTTACCAGAACCCTTAATGTTTTCCTGTTGATAAAGTCACATGTTTCTTAACCCATTCGCTCCTGGAGATTTTGCCGAAAAACGCGTTTTGAAGTTAGTCGAGTGGTTTTCTGGTCACTGTCGTGCTATAAAGGGCTAAGACTTACCACAAACCGGTTTACAGGTCGTACACTTCGCGGCCTTCTGATCCAGACGCAAAATATCAGCTTGCGAAGTTCGGGCATGCGCAGAAAGCAAAATTTCGACATAGTTTTTGGGGTTAAAAGTGACACAGCAGTCTTGACTTTTACTTTTCGCTTTCTCTCCTTCCTTCTTTTTTCGCTTTTCTTGCCTCATTTTTTTTTTCTCTTGCTGGGCATTTAGTAGGCTTCA